ACAGCTGTCAGTAATGATACAACAGTCTTTAGTGTATATTAAAGTACAAATTTTCTGATATTAAAGAAATTTTAATAGTTTGACTTCAATGATATATATATTTACTGTCAGTTATTTATTATTATTTATATAAATAACCCAAATACATCAAATTATTAAATCACACAACTCTAATATATAGGGAAAACATCATCACAACACATGTCTTAAACTCTGTAGTCTCTATTGTTTTCATGAACAAATTTTGAAGCATTTTATGTAATTCAAGGGCAATAACTCAACCTCTCATCGAAAAATCGTCAAATTTGAACTTATAAATGATCATACCATATTCCATTTAAATCGGATGAACACAAGTCTCTATTGTGCTCACTGCCATATTTTGACTCGAAAAAAAAATGTTACAGTTCTGGAATACAAACAAGGTCGTGTGACCACGTAGTCGCTTCTCAAAGATGACAGCATTACCCTGTTTGTAAGAAGAAGTGCTGTTCTGCCAATGATACCAAGTGCAGGATGTGCTGTAATCCTAATCACTATCAGCTCAGGTTGGCCATTTCTGCACGATTAGTAGTGTGAGCCCAAGCGATACGTTGGAATGAACCAATACAATAATCTGTGATCTTAAGTCTATGATTTTTAATTCCAAACCATCTCACAATGTTAAGCAATTATGAACTTCGTCTTATACCTTGACTGCAATAGCCCACTTCAGTCTGAGTGAATAGCCAACAGTGGTCATTCTGGTCAGGCATTTTATGGTGGAGTAAGTGCACCAGTCAGCTGATCTTGCATTGTCGATCATATGATGAGTATTTGATATTTTAATTATACGTAACGAAAACATCATAGACATCATAGCTTTTCATAACATTTTAAAATTTAATTACATTAGAATAGATAATTTGATACAATAGAGCTCGTTGAAAATCATAAAAAGGCTGCAGTAAAGCGTCATTGGTAACAAAATTATTGGTCTGATACTGGATTGTAATCTGTCCCGTCTCAAAATTCAAAAGATTTGATTGGTTGATTATAAATACTAACTAATAGACATATATTATCCTAAATTGTATTTATATGAATCAAACAACCAAACGTAGGAAAAATGGATAAATATTTGATCAAAAAAGACAAATTGGTTGATGGTTCCGACACTACTACGACTGACAATGGTTTCAAAACCACAGCGGGCAACACAACGGATGCAGTACCAAGATGCTCTGAAAAGACAGGAGTACCAGGTGACATTTGAAATGAAGACGTTCCAAAGCAATCGAGAATAAAATTTCCAGCGAAGTCTGGTCGCCATTTTAGTAACAGCTTGTATGATCGATTTCCATGGCTGGAGTATTCAGTGTCAAGGGACGCCCCTTTTTGATTTCCATGTCGGGTGTTTCACAATACATCTGCGGGTGCATAAAAATTCATCACTGAAGGCTACACAGATTGGAAGTATGCTGTAGGTGATACTGGAAAGGGCCTCGAGTAGCATAACAATTGAGGTGTCAAGACAATTTCTCCAAGATAACGTTGCCAAGACAGAAAACCAGCACTCCAATCTTGTTCTTCAAGAACTATACGAGCAGAAATTGGCTTTCCCTAAATTATATGCACTGGCTGCAAGCGTAGCCACATTCGGTTCTAGTACCGCTGTGTGTGAAAGCAGCTTTTCAACTCTTACTCGCGTTGACTCACCACAACGACGATCTATGACTCAGCTTCGCCAGCGCAATCTTGTTCTTGCCTTCAACAGGAAGCGTACCCAGAAAATTAACTTGGATGTATTTTTTCAACGTTTTGCCATAAAACATACCCGACTACGTTTAAACTAAAACGGCAATAAAAATGTAACGTATTATAACTTGTGTGTTTTAACAAAAATAATCTCGAATCTAAAATACTCCATGAAAGTCCGTTTCCCGACGTTTAATCGTCTGTTAAGGTGCTTTGCTAAATTGCCCCCCCCCCCCCCCAACCCCCCCCCCCCATCCCAGGAATACTGGTCAGGCTACGGGCCTGGCCCACTGTCTTATATTACAGATTGCAATGATTTGATTGGATTGTACGCTAGCAGATACCGCAAATCGAGACCTCGACAGAAATAGTGTAAACATTATGGCTAATTTTTTTACAGACTTTATGTCGAATCCCCTGATTCTGTATTTATTTGCGTACAATCCATTCAAATTGCTGCATTTACAAACTTGCAATACAAGAAAGGTGGCTATTGCATTTAAGGTATAAGGCGAAAATCCTACTATATAGGTTGAAATTGCGAAGGCGAGTTTAAAAAAAGAGCTGATAGAAGATTTAAATCTTTTATTTCAATAATCTAGCATCATTCATATTAATAAATTTAAAATTCATATCATTATCGTCTCTACAATAAACTAAATGTAAATAAGAGTTCTCCTTATTCTCTATGGGTTGGAGACATTTTCCACTTGCTGGGTTAAATAACTGCATTGTAGAATTCTGAAAATAATCCAATTATATTCAAAAATGATTTTTTTCCTTAACACATCTATCACCCGAGAATGATACACTCACGCTAGAATAACATGCGATAAAATGAAGTTATCATACAAAGTGCATTTGTTGCAGATTTTATTTCAAAATAACATGAATAGCGTTTAAAACCGTCCACCTTTTGTATGCAAATTTATGGATTTTTCATTCACATTGAAAATCATTTCTTGGTTTTATCATTAATCTCAATAGAATGAGTAATCCTTGTTTAATTAACATCGCTTGCAACTTGAAAACTACATAACTTTCAGTTTTATCTTCGCTTTTAGACTATAACATCGATATTATGTCAGAATATGCAATTGGAATCTGTAATTTTTAATTCGTTTACCTACCTGCTTTCTCCACGTTAAAAGTTGATCTATGCTGTTGTTACACCGGACTAATACAGTCATATTTGTAGGTGTCTGAAGACAGAAATCAGTTGAATGGAATCGTATATCATTTTTATTGGATTCACTCCAAATCTGAAAAACACAAAGCACAGGCACTCAGACGTAAAGCACATAATAACTAGTATAGTAATGTAAGTACTAAGTAGGTAAAGCAAATTGTTGTCAGGTATACCCTTCTAATATAATATAACCGTGAATCAAGCTGACGATCGCGAATACGGCAGCTATATCAACGAAAATAAAATTGAGGTCTCAAGAGAAATGAAAAGTTCACTTACATCTATAACACTCGTTTCATTGTAAACACATTTCTGAAGTTGGACTGAAAATTGAGATAACTCTAGGATTGGTTCATATCTAATACAAAAACTGGTTGCTGTGTGGTAAATCTAAAAGTAAAATAATTCATTGAAACATCGCTCGAGATATTTCTATGTTCATTCAAACGTCATGTTATTTACAATATGATATTTTTCAGAATTCTTCATGTTAATCGAAAAAGAAATAGCCTAGTCAATCAAACTCAGTATAATCTCTTTAATTTTCACTACACACAAAGTACCCGCCTGTGATAAATAGCGAAAACATCCAGCAGAGACAGGAAATATTTAGCAAGCTAATGCTGATCGCATGTTTAAAACAATTGATGATATGATTGATGATATGTCATTATTCTAAAGAAAGCTTTATGTCAATACACCAGTTCATTGTTTAGCTTTAAGTAAAGGTGTGTCAACGCGGAGGTATATTCTTTACATGTCCAACAGGTCAATGTTTAATTTTCGTTAGAAGAAAATTCATGTATTCACCAATAGGAGTTTCACTTTCTGTTTCTATTTAAGTCTTTTCTTTATACGGTAGTGACTCAAGAAAAGAAGAGTTGTCAGTTTAACGTTCAAACGCTTATAATGCTGGACAAACATGGATTTGAACACAATAGGTCTATTACCGATTAGCGTAGAAAAATAACCTGTTTCTTAGACCATTGGTCAATCGGATTGCCAACTTGTTCTTTTAATCAGACTTTTGTGGGCTCGCAGACCTATGGGTAATTTGATTTCCAACGACTCATTCCAACTGGAGCCAACAGGGAAAACCTGCCTCGCAGCTGCTGGTTAATTTATTTAGTTAATTTTCTAAAAACAAAGGGTTTGCACATTTACAGTGTCGGAGAAGTCGAAGGCTGTCGGAAAAAAACAAGACACCGTCTAATGAGATACTTTGAATCGCCGCTCGGCCTGGGACTACCTTTACCCCCATCTTCCACTAATGTACTTAATTGTGGGTAAAGTTGAATGTAAATATTGAAATTCATTCCCAGAGATTGATTCTCTAATTATGACAAAATAATCACTGAGGCAGATTCCTGGGGTTCAATACTTGTCTCATATAGTGATTAAATCAAACGTCTGAACTATAAGTACAGTCTTACCTTTCCTTTCCTGATTGATAAAGCATGCAATTTATCTTTATTACGTTTGGCATGTCTCTGTGTTCGTTCATTGTTACGTTTTTCGAAATCTAGATCCGTGGGAAAATTCTAAAAAAAAAGAAAATATCAAATTCAAGTAAAGGCATCTCACCTCAATAATCCCAGAGAAGCCTCATACCTTTTACTATTTCCTTCCACGTTAAAACTGCAATTAATTTTCTACTAACATTTTTGGTACCATTTCAACAATTGTATCACGCTGATGGTTTTAGTTATCAACACATTTTAAATACAATGTTAGGAAGCGACCGTTGAAGATGTAAATGTGGTGTTTTTTTTTACCAATAAAATCCACAAACTGACGTATTTGTATCCTTGTCAAAGGATGGACGACGGTAAATAGTCTGGATCTGAACCGTCGCCCAATACAGGTAAGAAAAACTCTGATGTCCCTGCCAGTGCTTCCGAGAGTTGGCTTTCGCTCCCTTGTACCAAAAAATATTAAAGGTTACAGCCAATTCACGATCTTATACCGTGTATACAGTACAGTCTTGTTTGACTTAGGGTAGGTTTGACCAGCCTGGTACCACTTTGGCTAAACGTGGTTCAGCGAACCAATGTGTGGCGTTGTAACTTACCTGTTCAGAATAAACAGTATCTAAATACCACTTGAAACTTTTACATCCCAATCTTTCTCGTAACTCGACTCTATCAGCAACCGCACTAGCATTCAATGTTCTACCCTCCTTTCTTGAAGCGAAGTAATGTTTCTAAAATAGGATAACATAGTTTAGGATAACAGCTGACGAGATACATTCTCCAATTTTATTCATTATTCATTTTTATCCCATTATTTGCTCGAGTTCAAAGTCGTTTTCAATCATGTGCCATTCATTGGTATAAATAACGTGCATACAATCCCAAAAACCTTTGTTGGTTTTGGATTAAAAGCCGTAAAAATTGTTTTTGTATGTGTTTATCAAATTTCAGAGGCAAAAAACCGGCAGCAAATATGTGGCTATATTATGCTGTATCGAAAATATGCACCAACCTTATAAACATCCATCCATACCAGGGCTACTCTCTCCAGATTTTCTAAGTAGGTAGCTAATGAATTATCCCCAGCACCAGGAATTCGGAAAATATGACCTACTCTTGAACACGGAACCATTTCAATGCGTCCACCACACATCCATGTCTAAAAAACAGAGCACCACAATCAAATCATAGTTTAAAGCGGGTCACTAGTCTTCCAGGAACCATGGGCACTCCATTAGGCTTACAGGAGTCACAATCAGTCTTTTTGTCTATGGGATGTTAATGACCTCTTTCTAAAAAGACCGTGATTTTTGTACGATCATAATCTATATAGATTCTTTAACAACGGGATATTTCGGGCGAGTGGCAGGTTTACTTCGAGTCATGTCAAAATTAATTGATTGCTTCTGCATCGAACACTGTTTCTTTCATAGTGTTCGTAATACAAAGGTATTAGAAACGAATAATTTGTTCTTTAAAGGGGGGATTTTCTTCCTCAAATGACATTAGACTCCCATGACAGTAAACGCTGGAAGGAGATGTTTATAAAACCTACCTTAAAAGATATTTCAAAGTTTTCACCGCCCCATAACTGAAAATTTGGATCAAATTCACCAAGAGTTCTAAAATAATTTTTGTCTATTGCAAATATTCCACCAGTTGTCAAAGGGGACCTAAAAGAGAAATCTAGTAACTCTGATCCATCGATAATTAAGCATTAGGTACGTACAGGATTGCATTCGTTGAAATAGCCTATGGGGATTTCTACTAGTCTTTGACTGAATACAGGTGTCCTTTCATACAGGCTTTACCCTTCCACTCAGGCCAAGGCGTCTAGTCGTTCGGGTGGGTCAATAACCCAAGTAGAGGCCCTGTGTGCTACAAGCTGTACAGGTTCACTGTACACTGCCTGGCGTTGTTCGTCTTTATTTGCCCAGAAGATGCAAAAAATTATGACGTAAAACACCATTAAATTTATTTTAATTTTCGGATATGCTTGAAATATAACTTAATTAGTTTATGTCCAAACTTTATACGAGATCTTCTAGAGACCTATGCATTCTATTTGGCGATGTCATTTGAAAACCTCTGATAACTTTATAAACGTAGAAAGGAGAGTATGTGTATATAAAACAGTAAAGCCTTTCCCATATATATTGATCATATAAGATACATGTCAGTACTTATAGATAAAAGAACAGAGAACATCTAGAGAATATCATTGCTAAATCCTGACCATTTGCTTAGCGGCGGGATAAATCAACTATAGGCGTGAACACCTTACTTACCGTATGGGAAATGTTTGAGCTGTGACGTTTCGTTCAAGGTCAGGCTTTAGTGGATCCCACCTTGTAGTCAAACTCCATGTAAATCCAGGCGTGAATACTGGAGATGGTTGGTATAGCATTGTATCTTTGTCAACAGCATCTAGAACCGGAGAAACTACAGTTTGCCTGTTCTCCTTTATTCTGGTTAACAATGGCTCTATCCATCCTACATTTACTTCACAATGACTATCTAGAAACATCAACACCTAGAAAATTTCAATGAATGATTTGAACTACATAGTAATAGTTCTCTTTAATCTTAAAATCCCGTCTGTGTGTGTATGTTTTATTCGTTGCATCCAGCAAATAAGGCACATAATGTGAATCGGATCATGTGCCAATAGCTTACTTTTGGTAAACTGTTAGTTTTCAAATAAAAATTTAATCAATAATATATCTCGTTTTACGAAACTGTTGATGCTTGTTTACACCGAAGTCCACATGAAACTATAATTGTTTAAAATGCCTCCCAGTCCACCATAGCTCAAATCTATCTATGGTAATGTTATCTTTGTTGTAATCATGTAACGTAAATGTCATTCTGACGCTTTGAGTTCGCTTACAGAATTTATGTTCCTTAGGAACATATTCAATTCTATTCTCATGTATATCATGTTTATTACCACGGTAAATACTCGCACCAGTTCTGACTCAAGAAGTCCAACAGCGACAAGATTAGTCATTTTGGGGGGTTGACATGAGTCTTGAATATATGTAAATAGTCTTCAGAAATACTAGAAATGTACGAAAATCGGATAATTCCACCAAAAGTATAATTTAAAACTAGGAATTTCTTGTACTATTTCTATAGGTGGTAGTAAGTATCAATTTGTTAATCAACTGTCTCTTATGGCGTTTCAGTTAGTTGACCAAAAACTCTTATAAAATCGAATCCCCGTGTTTAAGACTAATTATCTTTACCTGCCCTTGAGCTCTTCTTGAACCAAGTACTCTTGATGCTATCACACCTAATCGCTTAGAATTATGAATGAGAACAACATTAGAGAAATGAGTCTTGATGTAATCGTCTAATGGTGCCTTTAGTTCGGCTGAAAAACAATACGGAAATGGTTAAATGAAGATGAATTACTTTAGTCTTCAATGCTATTCAGCTTTATATTAGCCTACATCTCTAATACAAAGTAATATATACATCACAAGCGTTCAACTTCCGTGTGCTTGAAGTATGCTTTTATCACCTGTAAATAATATGTTTAATTGGTGTTCTTTATATGATGTTCTCAGGATTGCACCCTAAGTAATCAACAAAAATAAATGATCTCAATAGTTGCATGTTCATAATCATAGGAGGTAATACATCATGCAAAACGAAACCAAGGAGAGTTCTAATCGATCTTAGATTTTCTTCACACGCTCAGTTGCAATCGAATTACCATTCAAAATTTATTGGTTTCAGTGTAACAGGTTGACCAATGAAATTATAGGACAACAGTCACAGGACGTGTCTTGTTCTCTTAGTACGTCCATATTTGTTTTTATTTTGAAGGCAATACAATTAAAAGCATAGGTAGGCAATTTGTTCTTGTGATTTTCTTGATATTTCATATGAAGAAATGCACCCTTCGAAGAAACTATAGTCAATAATGTCTGTTTACAAGATAAGGTAAGTGGTTTCAACCGACGATCGATACAAAAAACCTTGTGATACATTCAAGAAGGTCATGAAGATCTTTGAAGCTTCAATCTGCACAGATCTTTGAAGCTTCAATCTGCACAGATCTTTGAAGCTTCAATCTGCACAGATCTTTGTAAATTCAAGTAGTTAGTAAAATGATGAACAGTAAATATGTCTATTTTGGAAAATGAAATGCCCTTTGTACTATTTTTACTATTCTTATAAATTTCTTACCAGAATTACTGAAGTCATCAATAAGAATAATTTCAGTTAATAAATTTACAGGAGTTCTGTTGATAACTGAATGTACTGTTCTCATTAAAGTTGAATTCGCCTCATTTATAAAACTAATAATAACACTAACGGTTGGTAGCGAAGTTGTATCATATTTTCTGGTTCTACACCTAAAATAATAAATGTTTACATAAGAACCTGACCAACTATAGAAATTGTGCAATAAGAGTGTCATTGTATATAAAACCCATATGAATCCGTAATGATGTCCCTTTGAATCGTCTCCACATTTCCCAGGAGGGTTATCATAGATTGGTCATCTTCAAGATATTTATCCAGGGCCGATATTTCATAGAATCGTCTTGATATTTTATAGATCATCTTGATATTTGATAGAACCGTTATAATATTTAATATATATGTCAAGATATCTAATTCAACACGAAATAAATTTAAAGGATCGTTGTGAACTTCGTAATAGTTCAATGATGCATCACATTTCTTTTAAACTTCATGCTATTTCATGTAGTGCAGTAGATACATCTCCTAATCATATTAAAAAATAATAAAATTTCATAAAAGTAAATTTGTAAGTGTCTTCATTTTAAGGGATTATAAGAGGTTTTCTTTCCTGGATATGTATTAGGGACTGTTTTAGCTTCTATTTGCACTATTTTCTTAAACTCCTTAAAATCTAAACCGGCTATGTCGTTATGACGTCACTGTCTCAAAAATTGGCTTACACGAAGTTTGCCATATAGTAATGCATAATCTGGTCATGTGATTTTGGTCAACAAAAATAACGGTAACCGTGGTGTAAATGGTATAAAAAGTGGCCCGATACACAAAAAAAGATCAAGAGAATATCCCTTGAAATGATAACAAAATATGATACTAAATACATAAAATAAATAGGAAATATGTTCAAGTTCAAGTTATTGGTCTACTTACAATTGGTCTCTAGAGTCAGGAATTGGTCTGTCTGCTGCTAGTCTATCACTTAGAAATTTATTAAAATTATATGTACGTAATTGTTTTTGATATAAATTTTGTTCTGTATCGTCTTTGATGACACTAGCTTCATAAACAATCTGAGTTTCTGGCATTATATACGGATTAAAATCATCTGAATACGACGCAAAAGACTTGTTGCCATGTTTGGTTTTAAAGTAGTCTTGCAAATATATCGCACACAAAATGGCTGATATTGATGTTAAAAAAAGAAACAGTTTCAGATGAAAATAAGATTGCGGTACATATTTACTTTTGGTGTTATTCATTCGTATTTTGGTGGGATTCTGAAATAAAAAACGAAAATTAAAAGACCTAAGAGGTCTTAAATGTTCTACAGTGTAAAAAGGATTAAGAAATTTTAACCTGTGAGTTTTTAAATTTTTCTACTCGGAAAATAAAATCGAGTTTGATTTAAAATACAGGAAATAGGATACACAAAGGTTATATATTATTGAATAATAAACCCATAGACAGAACATAACATCACTTACCTGAGATCCAAAAAGGAACATTTTGACGTTTCTTAGTTATATCTTGAACTTTCAACACCAAATGTTTCTGTTAATTTACTTCAAGACGTCCATTACTAACTCAAGGAGTAAATATGGGACACGTATAGAAACAACAGCTTGTCAACTGTATAAACCATTTTTGATTTTTATATTTGACGTATCATATGAGAAGCACTGAATGGTTTAAACGTAGTAATCAATATACATGTAGTTCTTTTTCTCATGTGTAGCCTGCAATGAACCATGAACAGTTAATGCCTAGGCTTGAGGAAAATAAAGACCATAATATTAAAGGGGTGCATATTCCACTTTTTGTAAAAAGTTTTCATTATCAAAATCTTATGAATTATACCTGAAAAACTGTCTAAAGTATAATATGCTATTTATAACTTAGTATTTCCTTGATCAAACTGAATTTGTTTGAAAAAAGGTTAATTAAAAAACGGAGTAGGCTACTAATTGTTAATTAAGCAGTTTGAGATATATTTCTCTACGGCGTTGATATATCAACGGCTGCATTTTTTAGTTAAATCTTTCAGATACGTTAAAGGGTACATTTCTTTAGATTTTGGTGTATAGTTTTCACAAATTTGAGCAAAAAAAATTTTGACCTACAAAAACAAGCGGAATGACTAAAGATGATCTAAATCGAAATTAATCCGTTAATTAATGAAGACTATTTCAATGTATATAGTTACCTGAAAAGGAATCTCATCAGAAAGCTTGTTCGCCTTGTTAGATATTCAGATATTAAATATAATTTGTCTCATGCAAAGGGTAACCTGTTTACTTATATCCCGCTACCATGAGATTCAAGAAGGCAAAATCAATATATAGAGTCTAGCTCAGTATTCGAGCAATGCGTTTTTATCATTCATTTTGAATAGTAAAGTAGGTTTCGTATAATATGGCCCTAGCCTCCGTTGTCTATATTACCACTTACTTTCTCATGCTCAAAATCTCAACCACGTCAACTACGAAGTTCACTTTTTAGCTTTCACTCAAATACTGTACATGCGTGTTTTGTTTTCGAGGACATTTCGTACCGTTAGTTTAGGTTCTCATAACAGAGGTTAATTCTAAAGGGGTGGGGGGTACCTCAGCTTCTCCACAGCAGGTAATCTAAACATATTGCACTATGTTGGTTTCAAAGTCTTCCAAATAGTCTAGCTCATTGGTTGATGAACTAACCGAGTTGCACCCCTTATTGTCAGTTTATAAGTCGGATAAAACACTCCCCTCAGGTTTTATGATATTCAAAACCATTTTTCTACCTCGGAAGCCTCTAGTAAGTAAACGTTGTAACTTTGTACTAATGACAAAGTTACGAAAGCACATGCACGGCAAGATTTTAAATATCATAAAAGCTCTCTGCGTATGTCATCCTGTACACAAAGTTCCTCACATAAATGTTCATATACTCTTTCAGAATGAAGTCAAAACAAAATAAAAGATCCTCAAAGATTAAACGAGATAATGACAACAAAATGAATTTGATTCCAGTGAAAATTAATAATAGTTATGCAGTAATAGTTATAATGCTAGCCGTTAGTTTACTTTATATTCATTATGTGTACAAACACACGTATGGTGGTCCTCCTCAATCATTCTTTGAAGAAGAATATTTAAAGGAGACGTATGAATTGGGAGTATTGAAAGATCATTTTGATGAACAGCAACATGCTGAAGGATATCGATTACATCGCTTTAATCAGTTTCTAAGTGATAAACTAAATCCAAATAGACCAGTTAAAGATTTTAGATGTGATTTGTAAGTTTTTTTTAAATTTTATTATCACTCTATATTGTTCCTCCTTTTTATATTTCTGTATCCTATATTTTTCATTTTCTCTGCTGAATACCATTTTTGTTTACCATTTTCTATTTTTGTTTACTATTTCTATTTTTGTTTACTATTTTCTATTTTTGTTTACTATTTTCTATTTTTGTTTACTATTTTCTATTTTTGACCATGTTCTATTTTTGTTTGCTGAATTGTGGTATTATTCTACTTGTGTTAGTTGCGTCCTTATCTTATTTATATTGCTAATGAACGTTTATAGAATCACTTTTTCTGCAGATGAATTTTATTGACCAATCAAAATACTGACTGAAATATCGATCTGCTCAGGAGAGCTTATTGTGTGCAGACACAGGGGCCAATTATTTTTCTTAAATGTAATATCTATAATTTGTATTTTTAGGTGCAAGGCCATAAAGTATAACACAAGTTCTTTACCAACTGTTAGTGTTATTATTAGTTTTATAAATGAGGCGAATTCCACTTTAATGAGAACAGTACACTCAGTTATCAACAGAACTCCTGTAAATTTATTAACTGAAATTATTCTTATTGATGACTTCAGTAATTCTGGTAAGATTTTGTGTACATGTATATATCATTATATTCATGTCTTTTGTACTTGCTTGCACTTTTATCGTTATTGAACAAAATGGTTTGTTTACAGTAATTTGCTTGGAAATCAATCATTAAAAGACATCAACTAATATATTGACATGTTCAAGACAGTTTCCGATATAGAATCTGATCGTGCTTCAGAGCATGTGGTTGAATAGTTGCAATTCTGTTTAAATGAATGAATACTGCCAAAGGTTATCCAGACCGGGTCCGGATTGAGTACGGTTCACTTAAAACGGGTCAATATTTATGGCAGTGTAAACGCGGTTATTGGTTGTGAATGACTGAAACAGTTTTTAGTCCTTATAATGACTCTAATTTTCAGAGAATTTGCAAAAACCGTTAGAAGAATACGTCGAGAGTCATTTTAAGAAAGTAAGACTGTTTCGAAATACTGAAAGAAAAGGTTTGATTTATTCACGAATAAGAGGGTCAAAGGAAGCCACAGGTCAGGTCAGTCAGTTTTCATCCTCACCGTGATCATCATGGGCATCACAAGCAAAATCAACATCATCAATCTTCTGTACAATTCCTTGATGATTATTTCGAAAACATTTCTACAAAGAAGGTGTTTTATTTATAAGCTTATCATATTCTAAACCGACATGTTCAGCAATATGGACTGTCGTTTCTTTCTTAATGACATTTTAAATTTGACTTTGAGCGACACGTTTGTGTTGAATTGTTGGAAAACCGAGAGTCAGATTTTAATTTTGAAAAGTGATATGGACAGATAGAATTGGGCTCTTTCTGATGGGAAAACAAATATGTAGATGAGTTAACTTCACTGGAATATAGTATTCATGTCTAGAGTTCACATTATTTATTAAATTTTCTAGGTGTTGATGTTTCTAGATAGTCATTGTGAAGTAAATGTAGGATGGATAGAGCCATTGTTAACCAGAATAAAGGAGAACAGGCAAACTGTAGTTTCTCCAATAGTGGACAACATAGATTCTGATACTATGGTCTATAAAAACACCGTTCTTCTGAAGGCTGGGTTCAGATGGAATCTATTATTCAGATGGGAAGCTTTACCAGATGGAATTGAAAATAACCTAATAGAAAAGTGTCTTCCCTTAGCGTTAGTATTTATTAATAATAGTCAATCTGCGGACATCGGAATTTTTGGTACATTATAGTCTGTGTGGAATAATGATTTACTCCTACCGCACACATATCACGAATTCTACTTGTCAGGACCTGCACTTTCATGGGGTTTTTCGCCTAAGCCGGATCATCTTCCCATCTTATTTTAAAGGCTAAACGAGTCAGTTGAATGACAATTAACCTTTGGTACAACAGGTAGATTTCCATTGGTTTAGCTACAAACAAATCCCATTTCTGAGACTAATGCATGATTCCCTTTGAGATATTTATTAACTTAACTGTATACCATGCAATTATTGTAACATGTAGGTTGTATAAAATAATTTGAAAGTTGCCGTGAAACAGATTTGTGATTTTTTCAGATCGCCTACCATGGCGGGTGGATTATTTGCCATTGATAAGGAATACTTTAGAGAGATTGGGGAATACGACCCACATTTGAAAATATGGGGTGGCGAAAATCTTGAATTATCATTCAAGGTACGATTACGATTCCTACATCTTAAGCTCAAGACAGTCATCACAGAGGATGTGGCATGAGACCAATCTGTGTATTCTTACTCACACTCAAAATCTTATCTTATCTTATCTTTGATATGAAATCAAAACAGGTGCATGTGAAAACATGTTATTTTAGGTTTGGCAATGTGGTGGACGTGTTGAGATTATACCATGTTCCAGGGCTGGACATGTTTTCAGAAAATCACGACCAAACGCAGGACCTAGTAATACTTTGCTGAGAAATACTGCTCGTGTAGCCAGTGTTTGGATGGATGAATACAAGGTAAGCCTCTTAAGGTGTTGTTAAGTGTCTTCCTAAACATTTACCCAGATCGTAAACATTTACCCAGATCGTAAACATTTACCCAGCTCCTAAACATTTACCCAGATCCTAAACATTTACCCAGATCCTAAACATTTACCCAGATCCTAAACATTTACCCAGCTCCTAAACATTTACTCAGCTCCTAAACATTTGCCCAGATCCTAAACATTTACCCAGCTCCTAAACATTTACCCAGATCCTAAACATTTACCCAGTTCGTAAACATTTACCCAGTTCCTAAACATTTACCCAGTTCCTAAACATTTACCCAGATCCTAAACATTTACCCAGCTCCTAGACATTTACCCAGATCCTAAACATTTACCCAGATTCTAAACATTTACCCAGTTCCGAAACATTTACCCAGTTCCGAAACATTTACCCAGGATCCATGAGATGCAGCTGCAGTCACTCGTGGGAATTTGTTTTAGCTTGTTATAGCCAAATTGTTTTTTTATTATAACTTGGTGTGTCTAAAATTTTGCCGACCAACAATATTTGATGAAAAAATATCTAAAGTGACGAGGATTTTAATTTCCAGACCATACTTGTCATCCCTTTAACAGATCTTGGAGGACTGATTCATATTGTCACGTTCTAGACGCTTTATCGTTTATTGTTGTATTGTGCTTGTAAACCACAATATCCTTGCACATGTTTCGCTTACATTCCATGAGATAAGGCTTATTCTTGGTGACCTTAGATCTTTGCTACCACTTGATACTCTTTGAGTCAAGCTGACTAACGATTGGGAGTAAGCATCAGTTGTTTGCTTGGATGTTTGTGCCTTTTTAAATGTATTGTGTGTGTGATAAGTATGGTGATCGGGATCGCAAAGGTGGTAAAAGTTGGGCGTTAGTCATGTTTTGTGTCATATGAATAGTTTCCGGTCTGACCGGGTTATTACTTAAAAGGACAGATGCGCCAATCTTTTTCACCAATCATACTTGAGTCTCAGAAACGTGATTTTTTAAGCTAAGCCAATCAGTAATAGTGTTCACAGCTCTACGTCGAAATTTGAGACTTCAAACCCATGTGTGACCAGAGTTATCTGCGTTGGAATGTTAAAATGATGACTCGTCATTTTAAGTTACTCTGATATATATATATAGAAAAGACATGTATAGAAATAGTGGGTAAAATTCCTAGTTTGAGATAATTTTGAAGGAATTTAAGTACATTTCTAGTACATCTGAAGACCCCTAAAATGGCCCATCTCTACCTTTAAGAAGTTAAGGTCATATCACAGACAAATCTGATGCCGGTAATATTCAAACAAACAGTGTAATACAGTTTCTTTATTTATAGGTATCAAAGCAATCACATTCGGGTCAAAAGTATGAAAAGAGTCCGATTATTTATGTACATTTTCCCACACACTTATTCAATTTCTATATCTTTTATGACTTTTGAATAGAAATATTTTTATGCTGCCAATCCCAAAGCTAGAGACGTGGACATTGGGGATATCTCTGTTCAACTCAAACTAAAAGAAAAACTTGGTTGTAGAAGTTTTAAATGGTATTTAGAGAATATTTATCCTGAACAAGTAAGTTGGTCACTTGATTCAATCTAGACGTTATTCTGTTCTTCTGTTCCGTATATTGAAGCAATAGTCATATTTACATGTAGTTGATCTGAGGCTATACGAGGTGTATAGACACTTCTGCAGGTGAAATCACAAAAATAGGCTTAAGTTGCGTTGCTTCTTTTAAGGGGCCGAATGATATTAGGATCAGAAATTGTGAGAGATTATGTGCCAGCTTCAAAATAACAGGAATTGCTAAAAACTTGTATTCCCTTTGGAATACAGATATATTTATTTTTGTATTCATTGTAAAATAATTCTTAGTTTTTACATTATGATAATAGAGGGAACTATTCTTGTTATATGCAATTCATTTCCTTTGATTTAAAAAAAAAATATCCTATTTTCAAAACTTCACCATGACGTTCTGGTTTAACTCTGCTTTTCAACTCTTCAATAGACATTTTAAAATATAGCAAGTAATTAGGTATATAGGCCCTACCCCACTCTAGAATTATTTTATCATTTAGACACTGCCAGATAATCCAATATTTATGTATAGAGAAGAAATGATAGTAACAAGAAGAGAGGCTGTTGTAAGAAAATCTAAAGTGATTAAACCTATTCGCACCGGACAAGTACGTTATTTAATAAGAATTTTCCTGCCTTAAATGATCGGTGCTTTAGGTGTTGGAAAAAGATGGTATAGACTCTATGGCCCATAACATTACAATTACCAACAGCCGCTCATTGTTGACTATCGAATGGATCTGTAGGAGGTGATAGGATGTAAAATCAGCCCATTCACAGACTATGATCATTTATGTGTATGTATTACAGATATATCATAGTAAATCGGGTTTTTGTGTTCAATATCAACCAATGGTAGGACAACACATGGTGATATTGGGACGATGTTCTGACCACAAACAAACTCAGGTATATCCTTCTACAACTTTTTTTTTAAAGAGATAAATTGACAATTCTGTAGCACGAACTCGGTCTCCTCATCTAATGATTCACAGAAATGTCACTGAGAATTGTATCATATGCATCTGATGACAAAATTGGTTTTCGCTTGTTAATTGTAATTAGATCCATTGACATTTTGGAAAAAACTTGACAAAGCCTCAAATATAAGAATGTGGCATTTATTCATTTGAATTCACTACATTGTAGATATGGATGGAAAGTAACAAAAATGAATTTCGATTAGATAAGACAGAATTTTGTTTGGATAGTCGAAGTGGTGCTGGGAAAGTCTTAGTTGTTCACTGTATATTTACTGGAGAGCAAGTATGGATATGGCGGGAAGATGGAAACACGGTGCAGTTATTTAACCCAGCAAGTGGAAAATGTCTCCAACCCATAGAGAATAAGGAGAACTCTTATTTACATTTAGTTTATTGTAGAGACGATAATGTTATGAATTTTGAATTAAGTTAGAAGTATATTTTTGAATATTTTGTCAAAGAACTGAAATTCATTCAGATGTTGTGTAAATTGTATAATAGGTTGCATCGTATCGCGAATGTGGGTATTGACACTGTCATATTAAACCGAGGAAGTATGACGAATGTGGGTGTTGTTTGGACACGGTGAATAGGATGCTTACTGTGAGAATGGACTATAAAGAAGGGAACTATCGTTAGTTATTCAAAGCTGCACACTTCTCATTTTCCAGACACATTAACATAACCTTAAAGGGATTATAAAGAAGTTTTCTAAAGTAAAGAAGTTTTGTAAAAAAAAAATGATAGCATTAATTTGAACCATTTTAATTTTCGAACGCAGACGTCCGTGATTTCTGCTCAACGTCTGATCGAAAAATGAAATGGTGCAAATTGATGCTATCAGTGTTCCCGATGCTCATACAAAATTTAGAAAACCTCTTTATACAATCCCTTTAACCCTGAGCCAGTGCCTACCATTGAATAGAAAACTGCTACTCTCCAATAGTAACTTTTTACTTTACTTTTTACACTAACTTGCTACCTAAAGAGACATTCTGCATTTTTTGTAGGTCGAAAATTTGTTTTGCTCAATTTGTGAAAACTATACACCAAAATCTAGAGAAGTGTGTGCCTTGGCGTATCTGAAAGTTTCAACTAAAAAAGGTCCACCCGTTAATTTTTAAACGTCTAAACTGTTTTTAAGTAAACTTTAAGAGCTTGTTATGCTTTATGGAAGTTTTTAGAGGACTACTGTACAGATTTAACTTAAATAAACGCCTAATTGTAGAAAAATACGTATTCTAAAGGTTTTAACTAACAATATAGAAAACTAGGTCAACCTGCTTATTGAAAATTTGTACTCTCCATTTTTAATTAACCCTTTTAAAGCAAATTCAATTGGATCAAGAAGATACATTTATATAATTTGCATACTTTAGAAATATTTTCACACACTATCGGAGGAATGAATGTAGCGAGTTATTATTATGAATTAAATTATTTAATTTATTATTTTGACATCATTAAAAATGTTTAAACTTACAGAATATCAGTGACAAATGGGATAGTTATCTATAGTTATCAAATAGTCAAAAGTATAATTCTATAATGATCCAGTTGACATTATGTATGACTCGAAGATACTTTGCACTGGTTAAGGTAGTTTGTTTCTCCACAAAGATAACCTTTCTATATATGTTCGTTATGAAGAAAACCTTCGGGATATAATTTCTATGTTTGATTCCAGATTTTATTGCTGTGCGGTATTACGCAAATTCGGGTCATTAAAAGTTGTCGTTCATTTCGTTGAATTTCCGGTATACTAGAATAGCTATATTTAATTATCTATAATCGTAGATCGTCAGAATGATATGTAGAAATAATCACCTGCTGTTTGAATTTAAATGTCGATAATTAAAAAGTGTATGCATTAAGATGAGACTAATTGGAGAATTTTTGTTGACGTTAATCCAATTTCATGTGTACATACACTGGTTATTCATTTATTTCTTATTTTCAATTAGAATCAATTTCGAACCGTCTTTATTAGCCCACAAAGTGCAGATAAGTAGGACGTAAAACTCCATTCATTTCATTTCATTTTAATTGTTGAAGAGGGCTCGGTTTTGATTAATGTGGCGGTATATTTATTTTTCTTTCTTTCACCCATCTTAGTTGAAGCCGTGCAGTATAAACCTTGTCTGTTGATTAGGTTAGCGCTGATATTTGATTGCTAATGATTGATACTGTTTTGTACATCAAAGTGATTAACCGTCGAATTCTAGCAATAATCTGTTTAAAGATGCCGCTAATCTAATAATTTGATTAACCCAATCTAAGTCAAGATTAGTCATCAAAGGACCCGCTGAACCTATATATAAATATTTCTGACAAATGTTCAGTATAATTTTATTATTGCCTTCTCTCAAGCACTATATCACATCTCAATGGATACCTATACAAACTACCAAGAATTGTCTGCCCGTACTGCTGGTGATGGATGTGAAAGCTACAAGACAGCTGAAGAAATGGACATGTCTTTTGATGATGCTGGTCAGTTCATAAGAGTTATGGTAAGTCTTCAATCTGATCTGATATATTCAGAATAATCGAGAACTATTATGGCAATTAACCTGCGTTCCTGAACATAATTGTCGATCAAATTCGCCAATTTCAAATACGAATATTTAGGATATTACATCAACAAAGGCGCTTTAAACCGCTCTAAGCTTTAAATATTTACCTTTCTGAATATAAATTAATCAATTCTTTTTTTTTCATTTTGTAGCATTACGACACAATCCGACCGGTTGTAGAATCTCAGAACCGACGAAAAGACGTCGACTGGAATTTGGAATGGTTTAAAATGAAAAGAGCCTCATTGAAAAGAAAGGAAGGTTTATTATTCGAGAAGCATCGTCGAATCAAGAAGAAGCTCCATGACTTTCTTAACTTCGCCTCAAAGAAAGAAGCTGCAATGAATTCCGAAAATACCCCATCTACACCAAACTACAAATCCAGATCCCAGTTAGAACAATCTTCGCATGATACCGGGTTAGTCACAGTTCTGAAGAATGGTAAGAAGTGTACGTATTGCTAGATAGTGCAGGGTGTTGACAGCCGAAATCCGTTGCATTTGTCACCATGCATTTGTGATTATATTCAGTATATTTACATATCAGTTAGCATAGCGATTGTATCGTTTTATATTTCAATAGTGTTTTAGTCAATGGACGATTGTTTTGTTGGACATACTATTGAATATTTTATGGTATCCTGCTTGTTTGTTATCTATCTTGTTATCTAACTTCCATGTTATTGTTAAGTTATTCTTGGAATGGTTCAATCGTTAGCATTTCTTTTTTTTAATTTTGTTGTCCACTGTTTACTGATTTGTTATATGTTGATTTTCTGTTTTAAAGTATTTCTCTTAATCTATTGTTATTCAAATTATTAATATAATTTTGTTATGGTGTTTCCAATAAATCTATAATCATTGTTTCGTTTTTAATACTAAAACCCCCAAGAGGCAAATAGTTACTACCAGATATTTCTGTGAGTACACGACTTTTTATTTTTGGATTGTGAACACATAATTATATACCCAAATGTAAACCTTTTTCAAACAATATGATTTTTATACGTCCCAAAATAACAAGTTCCATGAATTCCATCAAACACAATAAGAGGTTTGTATCTATGGCACAGCACCGACGCACTGGCGACCAAATCCGACAGATCTCGTCGCAGATAATTCATAATTTCTTCAAATGGCGACTCGTTAAATTACCTTTCAAACTTACGGTAGGCTGTAAATATTTTTACTGATTAGTTCAGTGGAACACTTCACTTTTCTGAGACCAATGTGTGATTTACTCTCGGAAATGCCGCTTCTGCCCCCGTGGAATCCATGTTTCACGATTCATGATTGAAAGTATAAGACCACCCGTATTTTTCTTGTATGTAGGTATTGAAAAGAAAGCTTCTGTCCATGTGAAATAATCTGCAATTGAAAGCAAAAGACCATCCGTATTTTCTTGATACTGTGATATATAAGAAAAGACATTAAAAAGAAAATGTCAGTCCCGAATCCATGTGGAATAATCCGCGATTGAAAGCAAAAGACTACCCGTATTTTCTTGATACCACGCTATATATATAACAAAGGCAATGAAAAGAAAGCTTCAGTCCCTGTGAAATCCATGTCGAAAAATCCACGATTGAAAGTATAAGACCACCCGTATTTTCTTGATACTGTGCTATGTATATAGAAAATGCATTGAAAAGAAGTCTTCTGTCCACGTGGAATCCATGTGGAATAATCTGCGATTGAAAGCAAAAGACCACCGTATTTTCTTGATACCGCAATATATAAGAAAAGACATTGAACAGAAAGCTTCAGTCCCTATGCAATCCATGTGGAATAATCCGCGATTGAAAGAAAACGCCACCCGTATTTTCTTGATACCACGCTTTATATATAGAAAAGGCATTGAAAAGAAAGCTTCAGTCCCTGTGAAATCCATGTGGAATAATCCGCGATTGAAAGCAAAAGACCACCCGTATTTTCTTGATACCGCGCTATATAAGAAAAGACATTGAACAGAAAGCTTCGGTCCCTGTGCAATCCATGTGGAATAATCCGCGATTGAAAACAAACGCCACCCGTATTTTCTTGATACTACGCTATATATATAGAAAAGGCATTGAAAAGAAAGCTTCAGTCCCTGTGGAATCCATGTGGAATAATCCGCGACTGAAAGTAAAAGACCACCGTATTTATTGATACTGCGCTATGTATATAGAAAAGGCATTGAAAAGAAAACTTCTGTCCCTGTGGAATCCATGTGGAATAATCCGCGATTGGAAGTAAAAGACCACCGTATTTATTGATACTGCGATATGTATATAGAAAAGGCATTGAAAAGAAAGCTTCAGTCCCTGTGGACTTCATGTGGAATAATCCGCGATTGGAAGTAAAAGACCACCGTATTTCTTGATACTGCGATATGTATATAGAAAAGGCATTGAAAAGAAAACTTCTGTCCCTGTGGAATCCATGTGGAATAATCCGCGATTGGAAGTAAAAGACAACCGTATTTCTTGATACTGCGCTATGTATATAGAAAAGGCATTGAAAAGAAAACTTCTGTCCGTGGGGAATCCATGTGGAATAATCCGCGATTGAAAGTAAAAGACCACCGTATTTCTTGATACTGCGATATGTATATAGAAAAGGCATTGAAAAGAAAGCTTCAGTCTCTGTCCATGTGGAATAATCCGCGATTGAAAGCAAAAGACCACCCGTATTTTCTTGATACTGCGCTATGTATATAGAAAAGGCATTGAAAAGAAAACTTCAGTCCCTGTGGTATCCATGTGGAATAATCCGCGATTGAAAGCAAAAGACCACCCGTATTTTCTTGATACTGCGCTATGTATTTAGAAAAGACATTGAAAAGAAAGTTAAATTTCAAGATTGAAAATTTGAAAGGCTTATGCGATTTGGCAAATGGCCTTTAAATCAATCTGCCCCAATTCAAGCAGAATAATTGTGTTTTACTTCTTTATTTTACAAAAAATATACTGTCTAAAGATCATATTAATATAAAGCATAAGAATCGAATCTCAACTTTAAAACATGAAGAACCAATGTGTTGTATATCATATGTAAAAACACATAGGAAGACACATTAAAAAAATAGACCTTTCTAAAAAGAAAACAAATGCACTTGAAGATACATCAGATAACTTGATGATTAAAGGCAAAATATATCATCTAATTATAAGAATATATCTTCAGCAGTCAGGAACTCATCGGAATCATATAAAAATCATATAAGGCATTCTTTCACAAGAAAAAGTGAGAAGTCACATATTGTGATAAGCAGTTAGCTAAAGTTTTGGTTTCATCAAGAGATTGTTCCTTTCACTTGGAGACCTTTAACATTGTATAAATATATCATCAGAAAATGCCCACCAAAAGGCATACATAATATCATAACTATGTATTTAAAGGGTTAAAATGCAATGTAAAATGAAGTACATGTATTTACAAAATGCCCATTCAATACCCAGTGAATTCCTTGACAAAGGGATTTGAATTGTGCAAGAGGGAACATTGTCTTAAATTGCAGAGCCTTATAAAAGGAATTCAGATAAGCTCATCTGAAATATTTCTCATATTTAAAACATATAAGATATAAAAAAAATGCCAATTTGTAAATTGAAAATATTAATGGATCAATATGGCTGTCTTTTCAGCCTCAGTTTTGTTTTGAACAACCGGAAGATTGTTTATTTGTTCGCAGAGATGTAATGATGCACGCGATGTTTTAATATAAATAGTGCTTGCTATAAAAAATAATGTGGTATATAGATAGCACTGTCATTATATTGCACATAATTATATGTGTTTTGATTTTACATGTGTTGTTATTCAATCAATCCGTCTTTTTATTGAACAGTCCCTTAACATGGTTTACAAACATATACATGAACACCAGAAATATATACTTCTTAACAGATGCTCTTCATACACGTCGTTTTCACTTAATGTTTACAGAACTTCACATAGAGTGTAACTGGGATATTCATTGATAGGAGACATAATAATTCACTACATGTGATCTAAAATGAACAATGCTAACATACGTTTCCCATTTACCAATTATAATAATATATACACATGTAACTAACGAAGCATACATTTTCTTATTGCTAACATTGCAAATGGTGGCTATCCCAGAGACTGCATTTTTCATATTTTTGGGCTTTTCATCGTCAAGTTTTCATATTACAACATTTCAACATTAGTAATCCCCTTTATCATCTTGAGCCTTTTTGAATAAATCCCACAATTTTTTAAGAAGGTCATAGGTCAACATAGAACTGGTATTGTAGCTCACAGCACGTAACAAGAAACATCCATCATCTCGTAAATACTCATTTACAAATTTATCTACCAGCTTCTTTTCTTTCGTACCTAATTCCATTTCTAACATTCCCAAATATTTCTGAATGAATTTTTCCTTTCTGGAGGTTAAGAAGATGTTGTAGGTCCATTTCAAGAAGTTGACTATAGAAACAATGGATAAAATAAACAACCAAAACCAAACAATAGCGAACATTTTCTCAACAAACAAATTGATAGATAATACACACTGCATGGTATGGCGTTGTACGTTTTCTAACTGACGGATCTGGAAATCACAGAGGGCGATACGTGGGAAGAGGTCAAGATCTTCAAAACTACCGGCCTGGTTCAAGTGAGAAATTACTTCCCATCCATATGTAACGAAATTGATATCCAAGAAGTCGGAGAGAATAAAGAATTGGCTGATAACGTTGATGCAGTTTAAGAGCTTCATAAAGAGATACAGTCCAGTCAAAAAAGTACCATGACGTTTTCCAAAACAGAAACAGAAAACACCAGAAACCTTTTCTCTTGCTCGGATAAATATGTTATATTTGTAAACTCGATAGGATAGCAGCCATCTGTCAATGAATAACGCAATATCTCCTATTTTCGCATCTCGTTTTTCCGGAGACATTAAAACTGTTTGATCGGCCATACCAACTATCTTCGGAATTCGTATACCAGAGTATGCTTTACATTCTGTCCACATGACGTTTGGAAGTTTGAACATCAAGGCCATCAAGAGGAACATAACCGGTACCCAACGATAGAATCCAACGTCGTTTTCTATCCTCTTCTCTATTTCAGTAGGTATAGGATCATCCATATGTATTCTGTACATTCGTGAAATCCAACAGAGATTCTCAGCATAGTTTTGATGTGACCCAGCGAAATGAGCAGGAACCCAGCAATGAATTGGATCACCAACGTACTGTTTTGCGCCAACAGCACCGGCTAAAGCAGCAAATAATGCTACAGATATAAAATGATGGAACTGGTCGACGGCATCATCATCTCTAGCTCCATTACTGATGACCAGTTTGTTAAAGACTTCGAGTATTCCCTCAAGCCTGTAAAAACAATGGTATCATAGGTAAACACTGACAAGGACGACCTTTTGTTCTTGTAATTGTTCTTAAAATATCACAGAAATTCAATCACTTTCACAAATTGATAGCTGATCGTTATCCGGGGGTGTGACGGAAGTTGGTTTGTGCTAATGTTTTCGAATACCTGTGTTTAGAACAGTTAGAAATGCAAAATCGAATAAATTCATTGGTGTTACAAATATCATTATATAGTCGTTTTACCTGCAGACATGAATTTGTATATTTCTGTTAATGATATACGTTTAGCACCTTGCAGTCTACTGCAAATGTAAAATTTTGCAGTTATCATTTAGTTTTTTGTCCAATTTCTAATTCTACCAGTTCGGTCTAGTGAGCTAAAAAAAAATACTTGACAGATATAAGGAGTTTTTATTGATATTGATAACTCTTGACACAAAGGGCTTGAAATTTGTTGACTTTTTACCCTATACTATCTAGATAACAACTTTTCTCAATACTAACTATCATATAAATTACTAAATATTTTAACGAACGAAAACCTTAACAAAAAAATTTCGGTTACAATTTTTGAGGTTAGTTAGTATGTCTTGCTATGACTCGTGGAACTTTTAAGGCAATACGTCCTTATTTGTTATCAACGCGGTTAAGTCTGAGACGGAATGAGACATGTAAGCACGGGACCCTGTGTCAGTAGCAAATCGTAAAGAAGTATTCTTTTGTCACTGTCTCAGAAGTAGAAAACCATTTCGCCTACACCCTTTACTAGTATAAATTTGTTATTAGGTCCTAACCAATGATTCCCGATATATTAATCATGATTATTTATTTCAAATCATATTTGTCTCTTAATACAATTTTTCAATGGCATGTATGGAAGATTTATTTTTAATCAAACTATATTCTCACATAAAGGTAAACTGTTATTACTTATATCACGTGACTTTAGTAAGTTGGACGCTATCCAAATAAGACAAATTATCTAGAAAATAGGTCAGTGAATTGATAGTGTGGGGAGTATTAAGCTGCCTAGGCTGTTGACAAACCCTATGAAAATTAAACTGGTTCAAAATCTTATGAAAGTGAGGGGGATGGGCAGTGAAAAAGAACGTGAGAAATTGAATATGGAATACGGAAAATGGAATAATCGGGAGATTAAAAGGGTAGACTAGGAAAGGAATGGGAAAGATGAGAAAGGGGTGAGAAAGGAATTGAGGGAGAAGGAAAGTAAGGGGGAGTGTGGAGAGAATAGAATGGGATGATGGAGGACGAAGATAGTGGACATTAGGAAGGGTTGGGTAAGAGGGGGGGGGGCATGCGAAGAGAAGAGAGTGAGGGGATGGAAAGAATAGGGGGAGAGAGGAGAGGAAAGGTGTGTGAGAAAGGTAGGGAAGCATGGCAATAGGCCTGGAAAGGAATTACAGCCTTGGTTCACCAGTCAAACCTTCTCAATATTAGTATAGAAAGACAGGTCTTGTCAAAATACAGGTTTTCTCTGTTTACTTTATCTCGTCAATCTTTATTGTGTGGGTTTCTTTTCAGTAAGCTAGTGCATCTTAATTTTTAAATTGCAGTTGAATGGGAATACAAGCATAATATGCTGAATGTAGGGGCGTGTGCAAACAATTTGATCGCATAGATTTCTGTGTTTGAATGCAATACTTGGTAGCCGGGTTGACATGTAGACGAGTTGATTGAACATCAAGAATTGTGCCTCACATACAATTGACCATAAAGAGAAAAGTAAATACTTACATTATTAAGGTTTATCGTGTTTCAATCTGAAATTATATAGACAAAAAAATAATAATATTACAATTGAAAGACATATATTGATAGTAAACGAATGATAATATAATGGATACAGTAGTGTTAAAACAGTCAATAGAACTATGCATAACCTTTTTCAGAATGAAAAACAGTTATCTGCTTCGTCTGTAAATAATGAAAAAGGCAACACTATTCAAGATTTTAAAAGCCCTTGTACTAATTTACACCGTATTAAACCGCAAATCTAACTAGCCGTGGCTTTCACCATGGGATGCAACAAGGATGTATTTTGAGACCAGTATTGTTTATGTAGTGTTACAGATGAAGATGAATTATTTTCATCTTGGTCCATTTTAAACAAAATATTTCAGTTTCAAACTAGATATAAAATTTGTCATAACGACTCTATGATTAATTCTACAACATTGAATTTTGTTTTACCGAAATGAACATTTCCTTAAAAGACAAGCGCGTGTAACTTGAAGGTCTTGCATGAAGGAATCTGGATAAATTACATTACAAGTATATATACACATTGCTTAGACCGTTCGCTTAAGAAAAAAAACAAAAACTCCTAAATTGAAATTTTATTTACAACTCCGAATCTTTTTAATAAATGATCTCATATCAATATCAACAATTTTCACAACAGCATTTTCCACTACATACCGTTTGGTGTCCTATTTTCTAAATTTTCAAAACATTGTACAAAGGTCCTCCTACACTGATCTATAAATTGAAATGAAGGTCACAGACGGTTAGGCTTAATATACAAAAGCGACAAATGGGGGAAGAGATTGACAAAAGAAACTCGGACGCTTTGAACTCGATTCATTGTCTACATTGTTGACACCTGAATTCGTTAGTTTACGCTGATCCTTAAAAACAACATTGTTTCTGATTGGAGAGCTATAATCACCATCGACCTTAATGTGTGAAAAGTTTTAAAATAAATTCAATTTCTCACTAACAAGCTACTGTTACACAGAAGATGCTGGTGTGGAGTTTAGTAACCCCACTTGTGCGAAAAATTCTGATGGTAATGTTGATAACCCTAACAACCTTAAATTCCTAATAACTGACTCAGACAGACTCCACTGCGACAGATCTGTTGAGATATTTAGATTAGTCAATAGTATCGAGTGAACCTTAGGGTAAATGAACAGAGCTCATTGTCTATGTCCATTCCTGTTTTTCTAATAAACAAAATGTGTCTTCCGTAGCAAAGACAAAGATGTACCAACCAGAATGATGATTGACATCGAAAAAAACTTAGTTCCCACAGCATTATTTTCTTAGGTATAGAATCAGGAATAGGTCACAGGACTAAAGTTTTCAATTCTAAACTAGACCTATATTACACATTATGTCACGAACGCTATCAAAGACGTTTATCTGATATAATTTAGAAGAGTATGGTTACCTTAATTTGTCAAACCACCCCACACATATTTCTATAGACCAACAAAGCGAAGTTTCAAATTAAAATCATAAGTTTGGTATTCTGGCAGTAAATCAATTGCATCTCTGCTCTGTATTTTCAAACATAAAACATAACAACCCTTTTATAATCATTTACAACAAGGGTGTATCCAGCTGATGGAACCAAACTCTTCCAAACATTGAATGCATAGTAAGTTTTGAAACTAATTTTGAAAGATAAGAAAAATAGACGAATATTAATTTAGCTAATTATGAATTTATTATATAATAATGTGAGACAGACTTATACTCATAAAAGTATTAGCATTTTTATTTTCATAAATGAAAATAAGGGAACCCATCTTTAAGTTTCTGATTGGTGATTCGGAGGGACTCGAATGAATCGACTTATGCATCTGCATAATAGTTCATAAGGCGACCAGTCTCAAACATTATTTCCCTCGGTGATTTCAAATATTTCTTATGACTTAATTGAGTTTGTAATTTCTACCACGTTCTTAATTAACAAAACTCGAAAAATGAAGGGTTAAAATGCTATAGGCAATTTACACCTACCGCCTGTCATCGCCTTATTATAGTATACTTATTACTAATCAATCAAATTAAATAGTATACAGACAGATACTGGAAAGATTGGAATGTGAAAGGTCGTGAGAGGTCAATGACAATTCTCAATTTTCGATAAGTCTGTTCAATGTGAGTCCTAAAGTTTCGACTTTTGTCAAATTCCTTAGTACACCTTATAAAAGAAAGCATTATTCAATTTCATAAGCCATAAGCGACCAATTATCAATAATTGCCATCAGCTAATCTTGACTCACTGACTGATGAAAAAGAAAACCAAATTTTAGTTTTTGCTTTTTATATTTACCCTCGAGGTCCGAATCAGAAGTATTCAAATAGAAATTTACTTTTGTTTAATTCATGCTACAACATGAAGGATCGTCAGATCGACGTGAAGTGACTCCAACACCTGATGAATTCTCAAGGAATAATTGTCATCTTAAAATTCAATAACCTGCAACACATTATTCTAATATAACTTATTAAACACAGATTTCTCGACATTTCTTTGGCTCATGTAACTTAGTAAGTAGCTTAAATATCACAGTTAGCTTGCATTGTCCACAATCTCTTAATACTGACTATTACATCAAAAACCTTTAACAATTTTTACTATATTGAATAACCTTGGTAATATTATGTAAGCTTGCAAGATTTTCTTTCTTATAAATCATAAGATTTTTTGTAAATCAATATTATGTTATCCTCATGCCCTGTTCTCACTATTTTGAGCTATGAGGACGTGGAATGCAATTTAGACACCGACCTTATAATTGGTATTTGATACAGGGATACAAAATTCATCAAAGTATCCTAGATGTCCATGCGTATATTATGTGTTTATGAGATGGTTAGGGTTCAAGCAATCGCTGAAACTCCATTTGCTCTCAGATTCTGCCATTTGCAAGGTTGGTTCTGAGACAGATCTTATACATACATACATACCACCCCCTCCATACTTCGGGTTTGCTTAAAATAAATATGTTATTGACTCAATAAATATATACTACTTTTCATTTCTCCCACTCTTCAGGTATACTCAAGTTATATTTATTATCCTGATGTGTTTATTTTGTCGTCGAGTCGAAAGTAGGTCATGTGGACACACACTTTGTTAGTCTGAGGCTGGGTTTAATTTACCTCCATTATTAAAAGGACTCTCACCAGTAGAAAGAATACATGTATATAAGAGTCTCAATTAGAGTTTTTAAAAAATGTGCCAAGAAATGTCAATCAATTAACGTACAAGTGAAAGATCGATAATACTACCTATATAATTTCTATATTATAATAACATTTAATAATCATCATGATCAGGGCTTATCTGTGTATCTAGTAATCCACACTCCCTTCTACGCCCCCTTCCCCTCCCAATAACAAAATGAGAAAGAAGTCTCATATATTCAAACACTGGTTGGTTAAATCTTTGAATGTGTATGTGAGGCTATGTATAAAATCAAACATAATCTGGTGCATTTTTTTGCGTCGACAGTAAAAAGGATGGGCGACAAACATTCCACTTGGCCAATTCACAGCATTTTTCTTTCAATTAATTAGGTGACACATTATTGTCGAGATATAGTAACTTTTTAAACTTATAACCACTGTTGTATCAAAATTATGCTAAAGCTTTCTTTTAAATTTTGAAATAACTGTATACGATGTTATAAATTACATTGAAAAGCCAATCTAGTATCAAATTAAATCAGATTAAATTCTAACTTAATCTATAAATGATTGATACTAACAAAATTTGACAAATTGAGTATTTTACACGAAAGTAAAGCTTTTAAGTTCAAGCTTGTCAAATAGAAGATATGGACATAAATTTTTACAGATGTTCAAACGCCGTAACGAAAAGGGTCAAAGATATTTCAATTCTATAGAGAAAAGTTGACTTACCTTGAAAAAACTTGACAATTTTTCACGAAATTTCTCTAAAATTTCTTTGCGTCGTCAGTTATTTTTAGGGGGTTAAGATAGTAACGATACCATTCTAGGTTCTAATTTTCCCCAAATCGACAAAAAATAATATGGCGAATCAGCCCTAATATAATTGGTACTTATTTTGGGAGACGTCACCACCCAAATTGACCTGTGACCCGTGTAGGAATGTCACTTTTTACTGTGGAAGGTCATTTCATTGGCTGAAAATACCTGAGCGTGGGATGACGTCACATGTAAGTAAGTGATCGTCTTAATAGTGTATGTTTTGTAAATTTGGTTAAAAAGTCATCGTTTATAAAATGCAGTCGTAATATAGAAACCATCAAACCATGACACCCCTCTGGCTAAATAATATTAAGAAAGTTTTATCAGATAGAAATAATTTATGTAAACTAATTCAATATTCATATACATTTTCAACAAATGACAAAAATCAACATCATAGTGAAGAGCTTTGAAACAAATAACAGATGGCAAACGTGTAATATCAAAAATCTGTTGAACCTTGATTGTGATGTCTTCCTTAACAGAATAACCTACATCGGGATTTGTTTTCTGCAATTTCATTAAATTAAATTTCAATAAAATGGATTTCACAAAATCAATCTAATTAAAATTAAATTACAGTTAGTTTTTTGGGTTTTTTTTTTGTTAGAGGCCTATGTTCTTTGTCATCAGTGCAGCCTAATCTAACATCCCGTTTTAATGACGGCATTTTTAACCAATCAAAGCGTGTCATGTTGAACCCATTGACTGATAACATAGCAAATTATGGGTTATCGAAACTCAAAGACATCATGCGAAGGGTTGTATTTATTTTTTTAGCATACAAAGACTAGCTGACGCCTCCATGAGTTATCTCTATCTCATTTTTGTGGCCTACTGAACTAAGCCTAGTGCCATTGCATTACTGTCTATTTAAAAGGTTATCGTTGCACCAGGAAGAAAAATGGCGACATTCATGCAATGATGTAATGTGGCGATTAATTTTTTAACAGATAAATAACAACAATAACATAATGGAATGCTTTTCTTTAATCTTGGTCTTGGTCAACATGGCGCAGAACAAAGGCCTATATACATAGGGCTTTGGTGCAGAAGAGCTTGTGACGTAATTGATAATATGACGTCATACAGCAGACTTAGGCCTACACTGTGGTGGCCATATAACCTACCAAAGCAATGCAGTCGTTTGTATTCTGTTACATTTTGATGTCATTCATGGGGTTTCAAGTAGGTCTTTGTGAACTCGGACCATGGAATGAATGGTGTGAAGATAACGTGAAAATCGCAAGCTACCTTACTCCTTTCAAATTTTTCGGTACTGACAAGAGACGAGCTAAAATATATGCTCAGATGGTAAGGATCTACATTTTACCAAACCTATCAGAGAGCATACTCGAGTTAAAGTTTCAAACACCCTTAATGTGTACTTTTTTTTCAGAACTTTTATAAGCAATTTCCGCAACCACCTTTGAAACAACTTCATAAACGTGTAACGGCTGCTTGTGACAAGGGAGTTGTTCCATGTATGGTTGAAATTAAGAATACAGCTGTACAATCCAGGGCTTTTCAACCATCAGTTGGACAATTTCATCCTTTTCCCACAGAATTAGAAGAATTTCAGTATAAGGTAGGTTGCATGGTTTCGACATTACTGAAAAAGCTAGTTGTAGGCCTATTTGTCTAAATTCTTTAAATAAAAAATTCCAAAACTATCCGAACCGCAAAACGAAACCTGAGGTCCAAAGCAATATGTTGCCAATACATTGGTTGCAGCTAATGCACTTTTCATATGAGGAAGTATGATTTTGACACTCTTGATACTGAAGACCTCCTTAGTGCCTTAAAATGGGATGAAATCGTAGTTCGAGGGGATGCTTACAACTGGTTTAAGACGTACTTAACAAATCGCCACATGAATGTCGATGTTTCTGGTACCAAATCAACAGAATTGGTGATACCTTGTGCAGTTCCGCAAGGTTCTGTATTAGGGCCTATTCTATTCATTATTTTCACCAAACCATTAACAAATATAACTCACCAACATGGACTGTCTGCTCACCTATTTGCTGACGATACCCAACTTTATCGAGCTTTTGAAACATCAACACAATCTCAATCTAATGAAAAGATCGGGACATGCCTGACAGAAATTCACAACTGGATGACGAGTGACGACCCACTTCCTCAAATTAAATCCCGATAAAACAGAGTTACTCGTCTTCGGCACTAAACAACAACTTGCAATACTTCAAACTACACAGATCCAATTTGAAAATGAACTGATAGTTCAATCGGATAAAGCCAAAAATATCGGCGCTGTGGTTGATGCTAATCTGTCATTCAAACATCATATCAATTCCACCTGTTATACCGCTTTCTACCTACTAAAACAAATATCATAGATTGCGAAATGTCTTACTTCAACCGTCAAGAAAATCTAATCCATGCCTTCATCACAACTAAATTGGACTATGACAATGCCCTCTTTCACCGACTTCCAGAATACCAAATAGATAAATTACAACATATCCAAAATTCATCGGCTCGATTTTTAACCAACACCAGGAAATTATATACATATATCTCCCCAATCTTGAATTCTCTCCATTGGTTACCAGTTAAAAAACGAATTGAATTTATAATACTTTTACAAACCTACAAAGCCATAAACAAAATATCTCCAACATACATTCAACAACTGATCGAAATTTCAAATCCAATAAGAACCTTAAGATCTTCAAGTCTGTGTTTATTAAGTGTGCCATCAGTTAACCTCGAAATCACCAAACGAGCTTTCTCTTACTCTGCACCCCTTATATGGAACAATTTACCATCAGAACTGCAATTTTCAAAATCTATCGACATCTTTAAGAAAAACCTAAAAACTTTCTTGTTTAATGATTCTTGAGTATTATTTCATTCACAGAAATTTATTGATCGAGGGCGCAATAGGAACTGAAAAGTAATTTGCGCCATATAAGTGAACTATTATTATTATTATGAAGTATAAGCTTATCAATCATAAATGAGCAAGTATTTCATTATGAAATGTGGAATATTATTATCCAGACTATCCATTATCTTTTGCTGGGGGCAGACGAGCGTATTTTATTACCCAATCGTGGCAAATTTTATAATTGCCCAAAAAATTCGCTCGTATGTGGCCGCTTAAAGATGGGTTTCCTTATTTTTAGTGTCAAATTAAGCAAACTTTTTGATTAATTAGTGTTTCTAATGAATTATCATGTATTCCTAATCATATCATTAAGTTCTTATTGCATATAATAAAGAGTTTAACCCATCATAAATTTCTATGTATGTCTGGATAAAAAAAAGACTTTTTGACCTTTCTTGATCAGTCACTAATTGAAATTCTGCTCGTAATTCTCTTCTAATTTAGCGGATTATGAATTATTTTTTGACAAACTGGTATTTTTCCAAGTCATTAGAACACTTCTACTTTCTATTCATATAAGTATTAGCATTTTCAATATCATAAATGAAAATAAGGGAACCCATCCTAAGGTGGATTTATACTTCTAAGGCCGTAATGCGCTAACATACGTTCGTATTCGGCGGTTGCCAGCGTTCATCAGCGCATAGGTTTTTACTGTCCACGTCAGAGAGTACTCACCGCAAGTCGGTGTAACATTTTCCAGAGTGTGTTGAACGTTTACGACGTCAAGTTGCATACAACGGCGTTTCAACCAATCACAAGAAGCTAATAGATAACACAGACAATCAAATGTAGAAAATAGGTCGGCGCATGCGAGCGTCTGCGTCTACACTTGGGAAAATGACTCTAGGACTGCAGGCAATCATCAGCTAACGCCAGCGTAACGTTTGCTAGGGTATTACGGCACTTCAGAAGTATAAATCCACCAATATGTGGACGATTTTTAAGACCTGTACGAATCACCGGCAATTAAATTCACGGCCGATGCTTTTAAACCAATCGGACTTGATGAACATTTGACGTTCAGAATGGCTGCATTCATTGTGTACCAACACCTTATCGACGGCAAAATTCCATCGAGTGATATTATTATATAGGCTACACTCCGTGTGCCCCTTCGTGATCAGGCGTAAACATTCGCTCGCGATTTTAATCGACGTGATCGAATCACCGAGATTCAATTTATTGTTACAGTTGTCAGCATCATACTACATGTGTTATTTTACGGTGAATCGTAAGAGTTCATTACGACATATCTTAGCAGGGGCGAACTGTTTAGAAAAGATTCAGGGATCTGGATTAATCCAAGACTTCACGAGTAATCCCAAGTACTTTACATTAAGAGACGTACGGACTGATCAAGTTCCATTTCAATGTGCAGAGTTATTCTATTGTCCTGGTAAGAAATAGATTTTTTTTTATTCATGGGACTTTGCATATTGCACCATTCGAGAGATTCCTGTAACTAATTCCTTCCAAATAACTAAGACTTTGACTGAGTGATTCTGTAATACTGAAAGAATTTGACCATATAGACCTTTTAGTCATTCAAGTGAAATGTCAAAGCTCTGTAGCACCACTGTAAGAAGGACCAGTGTCAAAATTGAAAGCTAAAACTGTTCACACGGACGAACTCTATATAATTTTAACAAATACAATTTCAGAGTATTTCAATGTTTCTCTGCATCCATTCTCTTCTTCTTTCTTTAAGAACCTTGTTATGCTTTAAGTTCTCACGGATTGATGTCATATTATTACGATAAAGATACTGATACAAGCAATCCCTGTCATGATATAGAATATAATAAAGAATGTAAGTGGATGGAGGGAGCTAATACAGATATTTATAGTTTGATGGCCGGTAAATTTAACTTTACATGTAACTGTCAAGAAGGCACTGAATCTGGTTATGAATGGAATTTAAAATATAAAATATGTGTGGGTAAGTAATTTCCTTTCTAATCCAACAACAGTATACTGTGATAAATATGTCATCACGTTATAGTTAGGTTATACCTCCTGAACAATACATGTACTATCTGTGTGGCCTATTAACTAATTAAATTGATTGCTTTTCATTTGTAGTGGCAGTAGAAGCAGATCTACATGGCATAATCTGCACTATTTATATCATGGTTTAAAAGAAAGGTTGAAATTAGATTGATATTGAAGCAAATGAAAGTCCTAAAACACTTGCTTTAAAAGGAGATATATTTGTACCCTATTTCCATTTAATCATATGATAAATTGTCATTGCATTGTTGAAGATATAATCGTCGACTTCTGATATTGAGTCGTGAGTTCGATCCTTTGCATTTCGCTTTCAGATGTCGATGAGTGTTTTACCAAACAAGCCACGTGCCCTAGAAATCAGTTGTGTATTAACACAAAGGGTTCGTATTTTTGCCATTGTAAACGTGGCTTTAAATATAATGCAGCCAGAAATATCTGTGAAGAAGATAATTCTGTTATCAATTTTGCCGAATTAAGAAAAAAGAAAAAAATAAAATCTTCGGGTAAGCAAATATATATATAACCGATATAGCATTGCTGGAAAGAATGATTAATTTCTCCAATCACACGAGATTGTGTTTAAAAATTTTACGATAAAATCATATGTTTATAACAACATTTTCGCCAATCTAAAGTTTTGTTTTAAAAATTGTCTTAGTGTTCCTTACATGACTGACGATTCACACGAAATAAAATTACTACAAGCTACAATAAAGTCTATGAAAATATTTTCTTTTTCAGAAATGACTTTCAGGAAGCAGTTAGAGATTTTGATTGGTTTGAGATCCTCGATAGTAATTGTTAAACCATCACTGATAGTTAATATCTTTGCCGTGTTCATTTGCTTTCAGGTTTTACTCTACTAATTTCAACTGATCTAAATGTTTCGCTTCGCCTTTTTATCAGACGGTTAATTGCCTTCTATTATCTGTTCATTCTTTAAAGGGACAGGTGTGCCATTTTAGGAGGTTGATTTTAATATTGAATAAATGTAAATAGTCTTCAGAAGTACTAGAAATGTATGAAAACGTACAGATAATTCCTTTGAAATACTTCAAACTAGGATTTTACTCACTATTTCTATAGATGTCTTTTCTATATATCACAGAGTATCTTATATTGACGAGTCGTCATTTTAACATTCAAACGCACCAACATGGATCTGAAAACTCAAATTTCGACTGTGAGCTGTGAACACTATTACTAAATAGCTCAGCTAAAAAAAATTCAATTTCTGAGACTACGATTGGAAAAAAAATGGCCTATCTGTCCCTTCAACAGTCTGAAATTTGTGTAGGCTATAGCATCAAAATCTCACATGAGAATGTAATCATATTTTAATTAGACTGAATTATACCAAATAAAATCAAATCTGCTAAAAGGGGGCTGACAAACCCACATAAAACACAAAACGAAACTAGGATTACTTCACTCATACCAGTTCATCAATTCAAGTTCATCATTCATTATTAATTATTATAAATCAGCATTTTATGAAACACATGATGCCATTCTGTGGTTATGTTCGTTATCTTTATTTTACTTATAACGGAACTGACTGTAATATGTAGGTTGATATTGCTTCGTGAACACTTTTGATGCCATTTCAATTCAGGTGTATCTGAAAAGTAAGCTCATCATATCATGTTCTTGAGCGCAATTGAATGTACTTTCTTCCGATTTAATGTTAAATTCATGTGTTTTTGGTAGTTAAAATGTGTTGCTCTTGTTTCTATATATTTGATAAAGTTTTTCAAAATAGCTTACAGGTACTTCAAATGCAGATCCAGGCTCATGGTTTGAAGTATTTGTACGCCCACATTATAATGTGGTCGTAATTGTCGTCGCCCCTGTCCGTCCGTCCGTCGGTCCGTCCGTCCACAATTGGCCTGTGAACACAATAGAGACTACAGTTTTCATCCAATTTAAATGAAATTTGACGTGATCATTTATAATGATGAGATCTTGGGCAAGTTAGAAGTTGACGATCTTTCGATAAACAGTTTTGCGTCAAAATTTGTTTGTGAACACAATTGAGACTACAGTTTTCATCCAATTTAAATGAAATTTGGTGTGGTCTGATATATTGATGAGATGTTGGGCAAGTTCAAAATTGACGATTTTTCAATAAACTGCTTTTAAGTTATTGCTCTTGACTTAGTAAAAAGGCGTCACAATTTGTTTTTGAAAACTGTAGACTATGAAATTTGGTGTGATCATCTATTACAAAGAGATATTGGTCAAGTTCGAATTTAACGATTTTCAAGATGTGACAGTAAGTAACAACTACTCTCACCATTTATTATCTGACGAAGTTCTTCGTATAAATTGTGTTCTATACCAACTAATCCAAATCAACGTAATCATCTAGAATTCCACATGTAGTATCTGAAACTTTTATTGAAAGAGCATGTTATTCTATTCGTTGAATGTTCTAAAATTTAAAAGATGAAATAATAATTAGAAGTCAAAAAACCAAATTAGAATTATAGCAATAGAAGAGTTTGGATATCGAACCACCACGATATAACAGTAAAAGTACCAGAAGAGCAGTATTCAGCAGACGCAACTTGGAATACTGATACTGTATAAATTATGGAATAACATTTGCCCACTCTCCCATGTTATTATGTAACAGGTGAATCTATGAAGCAAGTTAAATTCTCCTAATCATCCTCGTCTGAGTCTGGCGTGGTTGTTGTTGTTGTAGTGGTGGTGGTTGATGTTGTTGGAGCGAATTCTGTAATATAAAAAAAGATATTTTCAATATATCTTACAGCTCCAGAAAAATGTTCCCCATGAAACATTTTTACAGCCTCCTGAAGTTTGGCCTTACGCGCACGCTTGTGACGGAAGGCAAAATGGCGTCAAAATTGTCATAATTTCCTGGGTTTCTTAGAACTTTCCACTAGAAAACATAAGTACAATATTTAAATGTCTACAGAATGATTTTGAAAGACATTAGAGCTAAAAAAAATATTTCCCAAAATCCAAAATTTACCACCAAATCAAAGTTTATTTAATGTAGATACGATAGAAATATAATCAAATGTCTAGATTAGAATAGCACCATTTAAATACATATTTTTGTATATTAATCTACCTAACCTGAAAAAGCAGTTTGTAATGAGTAATGTTTAAGTCCATTTTGACTTTATGATCTTTCGTCACAAGTAGGCGCGTGAGGCTAAACTTCAGGAGACTAAAAATTTTCCCCATTCCAAAATCATTTTCTAGAGTGTACCTAACTATATAATCTATCAGAAAAACCAAGAATAATTCATGTCTCGTTTTTTTCACAAACCTGAGTAATTCTATATCCGACTATACTATGGACCGTTGAAATTTCATACACCTGACGAATACTATATATTGATATTTAAATATTATCAACTTTTCTTCCAATAGAGAAAAACAGTTAATGTCTAGTTTTTTTCATAAATTGCAATTCCGCCAAATTCAAGTTTTAAAAAAAGTCAACCACAAGATTACATCATTTTATGCTATTACTTATATTACCGGTTTGGTGGTTGGAATTCAATACCAATACCCCCTACGTGCATCTCTCAACCAAATCTCAAACAGCAGTGTTCACTTACGTTTATCGCTGTACCCTCTAGAACTTGATAATGGTGTCACCCGAGAGTACAGTTGGTGTGGATATAAACTAGTCGTTGTACACAATACCGAGTTACTGATCTTGTTTACAAAATAAGTTTGACATCTGGTGTCAGATATACATAAGATGGTACAATCGATTCCAGATCGAACTTTATGAGACCACATCACACTAGAATTCAACTGGTATCCCCTCATGTTAGCAAAGCCGCGATATACTACTCCACCTGTCCTGTGCAAAAGGAAAACTATTGAAATAATCCAGACAGTCTTTACAAGGGAAATTCCAAACATGCTTGGTGTTTTTTTTATGTTTTCACATATTTTGTTATCTCCATTGACAGTTTTAAAACTTGAATTCTAGAATAGAACTACAAGATAAATACATTAAACGGACTTCAAACACACAAACACACACGCACCTCACCCCAACTTCAAAAGAACTATAACAGACTATTATTGGATTCACTGAAACAGTTTCTGTCAGCCATCAATCGATATGATATGAGTTTAACTTATCGTGAGGCCTATCTTGAAAGGGAGACCGTTGTCTAATTATTTGCTTCAGCTGTGATAAACGCTCAATTTCAGCTATCCATAATCCTATTCAGATTCCAATGTCCGATCCACCTCTTTTTTATCTCCTCTTTAAGGGGACCCTCACACATGGCGATCACCAGTTGCGTATGGGTGGGAATAAGAATAGCAGTCATAAATTTTGAATACTCATGTCCACATTCATTATTAGCAACCATACACAGCTGATAATCGCAATGGCGTTGGACATATATAAAAGACTCAAATCAACCTCCGAAAACGGCGAATCGTGACCTTTAAGATTGTCGTCACATTCAATGTGTTTTAACTCTTGTCAGTTATTACAAATAGTGTAATAATTTCGGTTTCATCTGTACCTTCTCTTTAAATTGGGAGTATAAATATGTTAATTTTCTTAGTATATTTTGAAATATACATGTTTAACAGTCTAAAATCAGGGTTAAAACTGAACATTATGGTAAAAGTATTAATTTTTATTGATTAAATATTATTTTATAATGTTTTCTGTGTATAGAAGAGAGACATTATCTTTATACAATTTACAATTAAACAACTGTATTCATCCTCTTTAAAATAATGTGACAAGTTACAATCAAAGAATTATGTCCCCTGCCAATTTTATCCTTTCCATCTAAATAGCAGAATATGGCACGATAACAATGAGCCTACATTAAACTCCAGTGTAGTAGTATGCCACAGTATTAATGGTTGAAAAATAGTCCCTACCAAATCAGATATTATACATGTATCTATTATTGTGAGAGTTTTCTTGGAGTTAAGCAAGAACTGGTATATATGGGTAAGTTGATAAAATTGATATGATCTCGTTTCGTGCAGGTAATACAACTGACTTGAGGGAAAAAAATTAACCGATCAATAATATTGAGGAATTAACGTAATATGTTAATAAATTTCTGGGATATAATACAGTGACTCCAATTTACAGGGTATATATTGAAGTATTTATAATAAAATCATAAAAAGTCTTGACAATAAGGCTATTGTTGTAAAAATTTGAACAAGTGGATTGATTTTGAGTCGTAACTTCTCTACACTCTCTCGACTGACATTCAAGAAAAACCAAATTTGACTTCTCGATATCTATTATACATAAGGAGACAGGATTTTAGTCAGAAGAAGAAACGTCAAGTGTGTACTTTATTCGTAAAGATGAATCTATAAACTTGTTCAAGTAAATCAACATAAATCGATTGGAAACAATGCTACATAAATAACATCCGGTTTCTAGGTAGAAAGAAGTTTATCCAATTAGTCATAAAGTATAAGGTTCGTGTCTAATTTCCGTTTTAACATTGTTGTTTTATAATTAAATGGTGACACGATCTATAAAATCTGTATTTATTCTAATAGAACTGGTATTATTCTGTCTGAAAACAATGGTGCCAAATTCAAACCGACCCAACTTGAAGTAAAGAATTGTATTGATTGTTTAATGTTACAGTCTGATTCAAATGAAGATCTAGATGTTTCGTTTTTGTTTTTTATCTGCTTGTTACTACATGATCTGACAAATTTCTTCCCGGAATTTTGATACAACAGCGTCAAAAGTTATCATTCTTTATGCTAACCAATAAAAAATACTTTCATAAGTAGTAAGATGATATATTAACAAGGAATATCCCATATCCCAAATTTGATTAAGATATGCTTTATTGAACAAATCATTTTATCAGTTGACACAAAATGGAGATGCATACTAATCTCGTCAGATCATAGATAAACACAATTGCTTAATCAAAAGACATGGATGGAAACTATTGGATCGGAAGTAATATAGTTGGTAACATCAATATTATAGATTTCTGATTTTGTTGGTATTTAATACACCAACCTTATTCCGATATATTATGTTCCAGCATCAACATCGATAATTTGGTGCAATTCAATGGTCTGAACACCAGGATCGTCAGAGCTGTTTCAGAAACGATTCCATGTAATATAAACACTTAATAATACCAACGCTTATTGTCAATTTTATAGACATGCAATGGCCATATTATTTGTGTTTGGTATTGGCTATTACAATACAGGTACACTACAATCTTAGTACAACCGGGGCCTCAAAACATTCTTAGATATTTCTACTCATTTTGAGTGAGTAGCCAAAATCCAGGCTCTACAAAATACTTAAGTCATATTTCTTGCTCCAGTTAAGCAATTCCTTGAGATTGGTAGGCAGGTTTACGAGCAAGGAAAACATTATAGGTCAAACTGCTTAATTAACAAATAGTACTCAAAACTTCAGTTTGAACAAGAAGATACATAGATATATATATAGCATACTTTAGAAATATTTTAAGGTATAATTTACGACGTTTTTGATAATACACACTTTTTACCAAAAAACTACCTCACCAAAACACCAGTTTATATATAGAACTAATGTTAAAAACTGCTAACAAAAGAAGTAACGAGCGACACTGAATATTGTTAATCCGTCACATTTTTCGCTAAGACAGAAGGTTAAATATTGTTACCCGCAGACACCAAGATATAGGACAAAGAGACATATATAATTCACACTTGACAACAAAATATACTTTATTCAACAAAATTGAGTACCCGCCGAGCGGAAACGGGTATCGGTACAGTAGATAAGGATACTAACACCTAGTATCTTTTATTCAAAATCTCCCTAATCTCCTCTTACTATGTAAGCCTCTCTACTTACATAGGGAACCTGTTCCTTCAGACTTCTGTGTTCTGGAGTCTCAGTGTCTCTGTGAATTCAAATAACAGAGTTCCTCGAATGACAGAAATTAAACTCTATTTATACATTTTGAGTGCCCCATAAACCGACTTGCCTGGTACTCTTATGAGTTAAAATAATACATTAAAAATACGAACCCAAGCCCTACCCTATTAAAATGCATATCACATGAAAGCTAATGCTAAGCATATTGTGAACATATAATAAAATGGAAATAAATACGACCCATGCTTGGCCCACTTATCTAAAGGTGAATTTCAACATGATTATCCCCCTTAAGTGAAAAATACAGTAAAACTGAGTATAAGGGAACCTAGATGAATTAAACATTAAAATATAACAAAATAAGATAAAAATGAAATAAAAGGACAAATTGACCAAGACCAACCAATCCTGGAAATCGGAGTAGGTAATTAACAAATGAAAAATGGTCACAATATTCCAAAAGTTAAGAGTAATAAGTACACACAAACTATTTCGAGACTTTGGCTTGAATTTGAAGATCCATCGGCTTGTACTTTCGGCAAAAATTTTCTTGAAACCTTTGGCATTCGTGTTGATTTTTTTGCTGTTTTCTGTAGAATTTGTTGTGTAGGTATTGTGACGTGTAAATAGCTGTCTGTTGCCTTTGACGTTCCTTTGTCATTTGTCAGGGAAGCTGTGCTAGAACTGCGTCCTGAGGACTTGGCTGTCTCTTGGGTTTTTCTTGTATCATCAACTGACGTGGTTACTGATGAGAACGTGGACATTTTCGTTGTATATTTTGGTGTTATTTTCTTTGTAGAGCTATGTGGTACACCAGTGGACGCAGCAGAACTTTGGCCACAGCCAATCGATGGTCCACAAGCAGCAACTGCTTCTGATGTATAAAACTCATCCAAGCTAGTTCCATTTAAGCATACGTTGTTTGAGAGATGGGATTGCAATTCTGGCACCCCTGCCATCCAGTTTATTCCACAGTCACATTTGAAATTATTAGAATAAAATTTTGTGTCGTTACTAAAGGTGAACAGAGATTCAATAGAGTTACAAGGTATATTTCGAATTGTGTTCAGATAAAACTCAACTCTTTTACACTGAATATTCTGGAAAGTATCGGTTTGGAATTCTTTCATTTCATTCAGATACAATACGAATGACTTGATTTCGGTGATATCATGAAAGGCAGAGGATGATATGGACGTTATATTATTTGAAGCCAACTCGATTCGGGAAATTTGAGATAATTTGTTGAATGCTTTAGTCTCTATATTTGAGATGTTTGAATGGTGTATATCTAGGGTTCGCAAGTGAGATAAATTGTAAAAAGCGTTCTCCTTAATGGTTCCAATGTTTGTATCAGAGATGAAAATTCCATCTAAATGTTTCAAATTCGAAAAAACATTAGAATTGATAATGGAAATTTTACTGTTTTCTCGAAATTCGATTACTTTCAGAGATTCTAATCCAGCAAAATGGCTGACATGTAATTCCTTTATATTGGCTCGTTCAATTAGAATAGTTTCAGTTCCAGATGGGAATGTAGCATGATCACTCAGATTTTGACATTGTACAAATTCTCCTAGACACATACAAGATTCTGGACAGTCTGTTTGTGAAGCTTGTACTTGAGTGGTTAGAACAACTAACATTACCATCCATTGTAGCATCTGTAAATAAACAATACCAAAATAAAACAAGCAAATTAGAGGATATAACCTGCAGATTTTTAAGAATGGTAAGATTCTTCCATGATGTCGGTAGTCTTAAGGATTTTGTTACAAACTTTAATTCAAATAAACTAACATAATAATATAGAACTCTACACCCTACTAATTATAGTTTTACAAAGAAATTCGTCAAAAGTTTTAAAATTTTATTACAAGAACTATAATATTGTATGAAAGCTGAAGTAGAGGATTTTTTTCAAAATTATATTAGTTGTCAAATATTGAAGTATAGGAAGTAATATATAAATATCCGGAAGGGATTGTATCGTAAGAAATTTAAACATGTATATCTTTGTATGAGTGTATTGTAACTAATCTAATCATTATCGTTTAATAGATTTGAACGGAAATAGATATCGAATGCTTCCCATGCCATTCCCACGGTAAGTTGAATGTTTTGTTTTCCTAACATGATATAATTCATTTGATTTAGGGGTTTTGACAACTGCAACTGCATATATTTCTTGTTACAAGCTTTGCACCTAATTAATTAAAGCATTAATTCTGGTTGGTCGTGTTGATTTCATCAAGACCATATAATAATATGTCATATTTTCACGCCATGTTTCCTGAAATCGTGTTCTCATCATCCCAAAGGCTTAATATAATAAGCATAGAAGAATTATTTCGGGATTTAACATGGATAGAAGCAGCTAAATCCTTTGGATTATGATTATCCAGGCAACTTTATTTAAGTATAGTTTAAAGCTGAAAGGTTGCGGTTCAGATAAAACTAGCCTACTCGCGATGGTTTACCCTTCTATAACTTGAATCATTTTTAATTTACATTTAATCCTACATTTTTCTAGATTGAAAAAAAAAATGGGTTATGCTTATATTACTCACACCAAAACAAAAACTAATAGTGATAAAAGCATAGATAAATAAATTAAAGAAACTTACAGGAATAAATGTCAAGTTAGAATGAAAACAAAAAAGACAATAAATAGAAATAAAAAATAGAAAATAAATAAAATCAAAATAAAATTAAAAGAACTCATACAAACATATGTTTCAAACGAACAAAAATATATACTTTTGTATAATACAAAAACAAATAATAAATAATAAATAAATAAATCTTAAATACTTACTATTTTTATAGTCATGTTTATTTTTAAGTTCTTCCTCTTCTGAGTTCCTTTTCTTTTTATTGAATTTATGTTCAGTTTTGAGTTTTTAGTAAGTAAACTTGTGAAATGGAATGTTTTTTTCGTGGTTTTAATTTTGTTTACTAAATCGTTGTAACTGAACCATTCATTGATAAGGAACTTTTAAATAGTAATTCTCATAGGAAACTCACAAGCCTACTTTCAAAATTATCTGTGTAATACACTTCTACTGACATTTCAAGGACTGCTTTCCTGCAATTCGAACATCGTTTTATTTGAACTTAATGGTGATGTGACGAGAGATGAGAAATGTATTCTGAGAAAAAGACTAAATATTTCTACAAATTGTGTGGATGGCAATGTACATGCATCTAGGATTTATCTAAATAAACTCCCCTTTCTAGACTAGAATTAGTGTCGGAAAAGGGGGGGGGGGGGGCTGTTTTTGCGCTGTGGTCTCCACCAGTGTGCTCTACACTGTATCTGTCTTTTTAAGGGGAGGGGGGGGGGGGGAGGGGGTGCGACCTGTGTAATGTGTTTCTTTTAGATTTATATTAAAACATTTTCAGTCGTGGATTTGCATTATTGTATAGGCCTATCATTATTGATGAAGAGTTTCCTCAGATAACAAGATAATTGTCCTTTAAATGGATGACGTATTAGACCTATTGTAGCATTACTGGTTGTTAGTGGGTCAATCTGTTCTCAGACGACCTTAAATGGCCGGAAAAGGCTAGTTAGGTCTCTTTATTAGTTAGTCCTATCACAGTAGCTATACTTACTATAGGCCTGCAGGGTTTGTGCACTGTTATATCGTATTTGATGGGCTCAGGCCCATAGCTGGATTTGATTGTGCAAATGGGAAAGAAATATATCTTTTTTATTATCATTTCCTTATAAATATTTTTAGACGCTTCTCGCGTGTTTACACCTATCTTGCCTTCAGTCGCTCTGTTTTATTTTTCATTTTACTCGGGAAAAGCTTCTAGTCGATCGGATGGGACAATGAATAATGCTTTGCAGGTTGTGATTCAACACCCCGAGTCAATCTATTGAAATTGAAAAAAAAAATTGTATTAGTTATCTGTCCTAATATGGTGATGTCGGTCCTTACTAGTCCAATAGGTGCAGAAAAGTATGATGTAAAACTCTATTCGTTTCATTATTTCTATTCGACTTAACAAAAACATCGGAATTAAGAATTTAATGGTGGTCTGAACGTTTCTATGTTTTATTTCCAGAGTTATGTCCCTTATCTAAAATGGAAGCCCCCAGTGGAAAGTGCAAGAAATCTACAAATAGGAATAAAACAAGCCATTCAGCCGGTACCACTTCAGGTACACCATCTAAAAGAAAGAAACTAGTACAGGTATGTCTTTGCATAGAGCACATGTTATCTGTTTTTGCTAAAGATAGGCCTTTTAACATTGAAATCAATTTATATTTAAATAAATATAACGCTGTTACCATCTCATATATTGTGGCAATATACGGAGATCTTAATCATTGGTTACGGTTTTCTTCTTCAAATTTTGACAGGCGGAGGAAACTGAAGAGATTTCAGTAGTTAGTTTTGAAAATGAAACAACTTCTAGTGTTCGCCAGACAACAACTAATGAAGAGGTCATAACTCAAACTACAGCTGTTCCTGTAATTCCTATTGTACCAGAAAAACAACTTCCGGTTTTTAAAGATCCTAATTTTGTAGTAAGTAAAGGTTTTGGGACAAAAATAATTTTGTTCAAAACCATTCATATTAAGTGGAGAATTATTATCGCAGTGACATTTTCATTTCATCACTAATAATAGTAAAAGGGTCAAAGTGTTAAGCTTTAGCTTGTACGTTTTGTGTCTGAAGAGTAGCTTGATATATTTCAGCATTCTAGTAAAGGAACCTCTTGTGGCAAAAGAACAAGAGTATGGAAGAATCTGAAACAAATAATAGCAGGAGATCGTTCATTTCCATGGAAACCAACAGATGTAACATGTATGTACCAATAGTGTTTGTCATATAATAGTAAAGTGACTTGATTAAAGTCTTAGTGTCATAGCTTACTTACAGTTCTAGTGCACTGATGTCCATCTGCAATAAAAATTTGAATGTGATTGGAACATAAGAACCTAAATGTCTCACAACTATTTCAATAATCTTTGTTTTTGGATTTCAATGGATGACGATCAATTACATGTATATAAAAACTTTCCATAATCTACAACTTTTACAAGTCAAGTTGTGTGTTTTATATTTTAGATGGATCAATAGATGCCCCTCCATCATTCCGGCCTGGTAAAAAATATTCAGATATCTCAGGTTTAGAGGTATATTTATATTTTCTAAACCTATTTATACAAAAAATGAAGTGTTTATTTCAGAAAAGAAATTATGAAGTTAATCATCTAGTTTGTAGATTTGTTATATGATGATTGTTAGTCTAAAAATTCAATAAATGTCTTATCATTTTGATTTGGTTTTTCCAGGCAAGTTATGTTGATCCACAAACTAAATTACGGTATGCTACAGCTGAAGAGTTCTCACATGTTCGTATATTACCAGGTGATATAGTGACAGGATATCTAGCTTTAAGAAAGGCTAATACACCAGTACCTTGACTGAATTCTTTGAGATTGAGCCTCAATGTAGCAGACTGGAGTTCTGAAATCATAAAGAATGCTAGAGTGATACAGTGATAATATCTGAGGTTGCCTTGGTTGTTATAAGAGTTTTGCCAACTCTTCATGAAAAACACTATTGTTATTTATGTATTAGTTTCAATTAACGTCAAATTTGAATCAGTCCAAGATCTTATCAATATAAATGATCATACCAAGATTCATTAAAATCAATTAAAAACTATTGTGTTCACAAACAAATTTTGACATGTTTTTCCTAAGTCTAACTCAAAAATTGTTAATCAAAAATTCATCTTATTTGAATCTGACCAAGTTCTCATGAATATAAATGATCAGACCAAATTCCATTCAAATCAAATGAAAACTGTAGTCTCTATTGCGCTCATGAATAAATTTGGAAGAGTTTTTACTACTCCAAGAACAATAATTCAAAGACTGTTCATTGAAAAATTGTCAAATTCGAACTTGACCAAGATCTCATCATTATAAATAATCATACCCAATTTCAGTAAAATCAAATAAAAATAGCGATGCCATCGTAATACGCCCACATTTGTAATGGCAGCTAATTTGTCAGGGAGGTTGACAAGAGTTATCAGTAAATGAATGTTTCTGAGAGTGAAATTTTCATATTTCATGCTTTTTTATTCAAGTGGGATTAATTCAACATGTCAAGTTTCATTTAATCCATATAGAATTGAATATTTTGAGTGGCAGCAAGTGGCAAATCGGACGGATGGACGGTTAACGTGTGGGCGTATAAAAACTGTAGTCTCTATAGTGCTAACAAGAAATAAGGTCGGACTGACGGACAGGGACAAAGGCAATATACACACATTTCCATGGGTGCGAATAAAAATACAGTTATAGGATAGGATACTATCCACAAAGATGAAATGTGAAAAAAACATATATTATTAGGAATTCAGACAGAAAATATATTAACAAAAATGTAAAAAATGTTGGGTGAAATCCAGTTGTTACAAAATATTTTTTGCCTGAAAAACTTTCCTTCGATGCAGATGCCCATTCTTCGAATACCCCCCCTAACCCCCGTTTGCTCCGATACTGGTAACAAATACTTAGAAATTGTAAACCAAGTAGTATAATACTTGTAATATATGTAGTTTAAAATCTTTCCAAGTAAAAGAAATTGAATAAATTCTAAGAAGTTTCCATGGTCTTTTAAATATTAGAAAATTTGGTATCAAAATTACAATAGGACTCAATTCTGGGCATTGATAACAATAGAAAATTGTGCTACTTTTTATATGTATAAAAACCATTTCAGTCAATTATTTGAAAACAGACTTTTAAGACTAAACAAATAAACAAAACAATAAATCTACAATCAATCAAAACAGAAAAGTCTTCCTAAAAATAACACACCTTTACAAAGCATGAACTATATAATATAAGGATTTGATGTAATTACACCTGCATTTTAAGGTTTTGACGTTTATGTAAAGAATTTAAAAAAAAAAAATAATAACGGATGAATCATTAGATATGGATAGTGTTAAAGCAATTGCCATCCCTAGTTCTATATACTACAGCAGGCACGTTGTTACTTATTAAAAATATTCATCTTATTACCAATAATAAAAGGAGTTATCTGTTAAGTTGATATCAAGAAATCATCACACTTGAAATAATGTGCAAGAAATGTTAAATGACAATCCATCAATAACTGTTACTCATCTTGTGGACCATGTTTTTATCTTATAAATCACTGAGAACATGTTGTAAATACTGAAACTTGTAAAATCAGGTTTGGCAGTACTTTAAAACTATATTACGTGTAGAAACAATAAAATCTTAATATAACAGCAAAGTCAAATTCTGCAGTCATTCTCAGAGTTTTTCTGAGTCACAAAAAAGTAAAAATTGACATAGGACAGATAAAGCTCAAAAACCATTTCTTCATACACTACTACAGTACATCTTATAAAATACATAATTCAATATACAGGCTTTAATACCAAAAATATACAAATAATTTCAACTTTATATACAAAATATATGGTCAGAATATGACAATCATTAACTGCTTTCATTACAAAGGATTTATGCCAATTTTTCTTACTGTGTTTAACTGCTAGAAGTTATAATTAGGAAATATAACATACAGTTTGGAATAACACAATGTGAATTTAATATTAATATGATTATTTTTAAAGTTTTTTTTACATAATAATGTATTAAATATAATGAGAAAAGGAGAAATAATGGTACTTCAAGACTAGTTATTTGTTTATTTTTATTATGTTTTAAGGTTCTATCACCATCACAAATTATTGATTGACACATTTTGACCAAAACATTAATTTATTATGATTATTATGGTAATAAAGGTGCCCTCACACCATAGCAATTACCAGTTGTTTATAGTTGGGTATAATGAAAGTATCATAACAGTACTCACAATTCATTTGCATGCAAGTTCAAAAATTGTGACTGCTATTCTTTTCACAGTCATACACAACTAGTGATCGCTATGGTGTGAGGGCTACTTCATATTAAAAATATTTGCAATAAAAATTGTGCAGTTTGCAAGAATATTATACGGCTCAAGCTATGCAATATTTGGACTTAAAATAGATAATGTAAAAAGATAATTGAAACATAACAAAATCTAAACTATATCTGGTCCCTAATTCTACCCTAAAAGACAACAAAGCTACCTCCTGTAATAATTAATAGTGAATAAAACACATCAGCAAGACAAATTTAAATGTTTCATCTTGCTCACTGTGTTTTAAAACTGTTTCTAATTCTTCCTCTAAGATTCTAAACATATTGTTTAACTCCTAAAAAATGGATTTAAAGGAATGCATTCCTATAAGTTGCATTATGAATTTCAACAGATTTTTTAGTTTCAGCAGAATGGATGCATTGTTTAGTTTATTATGGAACCTTTCTCATTCTTTCTACATCATCATCCCATTATGAACATAGTATTTACAGGAATGCATGCCTTTAAAGAAATAAGAACCTGATTTGTATTGTGATATGTTACATTATAAAATAAGAGGGTATGGAATATAATTGAAATGTTTTTCATGCAATTTTAAAGGGATATAGTTCACAAAATCCTGGCTTTATTAGTTGAAAGAGATCGATTTCAGTTATTGATAGCACTTTTTAGAATAAAAGACACAATAGGCCTAATATAGTTCACGTTTTGTCCCTTGACATGATAGTTAATATGTTATTGATCATAGCTACTTGTGAACAGTCTAAACTTACACAATATGCTATGTTAAATAGTATAATTGGAAAACAAGACAGAAATTTGGTTCCTTAACATAATTATGCATACATGAATACCCTTGTTAATATTTAGCTAGTATCTTAATAGTGTAAAGATAGCTTGCCAGGCAAGGTAACATACGCCCACTGACAACTGTCAGTAATGATAAAACAGTCTTTAGTGACTAAAGGGCAAAAAATTGTTAAGAGTGAAATCGTTTGACAATTACTCAAAAAATCATTAAATTCAAACTTGACCAAGATCTCATCAATAAACATCATCATATGAAGTTTCATTAAAATCAGTTGAAAACTGTAGCGTTCACAAACAAATTTTGACACGTTTTTCTTAAGTCAGGGACAATAACTCAAAAACCCTTCATCAAAAAATAGTCAAATTGGAATTTGACCAAAATCTCATGAATTTCCACTATCACATCAAGTTTCATTAAAATTAGATAAAAATTGTAGTGTCTATTGTGTTCACAAGAAATGTTGACGGAAGGACAGGGGTGACGACAATAAACGTACATATTTCCATGTGGGCGAATGAAAATTGAATTTTTAAACTTGGTTAACAATAGTCTTTGTTCATCAGTGGACTTACCTAGTATCATAACTATACAACAGAATCCCTCTATAATACAATAAATCCATAAAACTAAGTAATAATTCATTAAACTTGGTAATTTTGAGACATGCTTAGATAAGAAGCGTGTTTCAGTAATTATTTAGTTTAATGGATATGTCATCTTTTATAGAGACTGGCATCTGGTAAATCCAACTGATGAATATATACACTTGTTGATCAAGTTTGAGTCTGAAAATTTATGTCCATTCTAAGTGGCAGTATCCTTTTAAGATTATTAACATTTGAAAATTACAAATAAAAGAATATTTTGTAAAAAAAATGAATAACAAATATTCTGACTAAGTTTAGAAATCAAAGATTCTAAAGCAGAGACAACAAGTCTTAAATAAATTAACATACAAAATAAAAACCAAAACTGTTTGAGATCAAAACAAAAGATACATTGAAATGACATTATTCACATTATGCTTGTAATACATGCAATACAATACAGGTAAAGTCTAAGAAATATATTTATGATCTGGGTCTGATTCAAAAGAAACACAATCAGACTTCATTTTCTAGGTAGTTCCAAGTAGTTATCAATACAATATAAGTTTAGTCTGTCTTCTATTACTGTATTATTGTACCTAGAAATTAAGGGGATTGCCTATGTTTATGTTTTGATCAAAACCTAAATGAGCACAAATATTTTTGCTCAACTAAACATAGACCTGGTGATATCCACTTTCTGGATGAAGACTTTCTTAATTTACTAAGAAATCATTTCCTCAAACTATAAAATCAGTAATAATAACATTAAAATATCAATTTGGATTGAAATAGTAAGAACATTTATATATATATGTATGTATCTATACATAAAGAGAGATCAAAATTTTAACAAAAAAGGGATTTGCATATAAATGGAGTGTAGTTAACAAAAACATAATTTTTACCAACATTTCTTTGGAAGCCAAAACTTAGAGAAGAAGGCACTGTGAATACAACTTTTAAACAAACAAAAAACTAAAATATATCATAATATTCAACATATTGTACCAAAACTTTTCCCTTAAATTTGTCAGTAAAATTTCAGATAAGTCAATTATCTAACGATTTGCTTAGATAACCTGTATTACATTAGAATTAAGCCCCACAGAATATTACATGTAAATAGCACCAATACCAAGCCAAAATTATTTCGATTACAACATATTAAAAAAAATTGCTTGTCTTAAGTTGGCTTAAGTTAAAAGATTTCAGACCTATCAAGTGCCTTTTCATAGAAGATATCCAGGATGGTGTCAATCTTTAAACTTACGATATCACAGATATTGACAAATAAAATAAAAAAAATAACAAGATTTAAAAACCTATACAATTATCATACAATCAAAGGGTTTTACTAGATTACATAATGGACACTGTAAGATATGAATGAAACATAGATGGATTTTCATAATTAATAAAATATGGATTTTTCAGTATGTTGGATTTGTTGGATCAAGGATTTCAATATATATATTCAATGATAATTGTAATCTAGTTATATTAAATGTGATGTATATACAGCTGAGCTGATATAGCCAATCAAATGATTTAATGTCTAGATGACATTATATATTAATAATATTAAATGAATAATAGATAAAATGAATATTTAGAATCAGATTTATATCTAAAATAATATATCAATGCTAATTTTCAGATAAGTTTTCATCAATAAGAATAATGTTCAACAAAAAACAAAATTAATCCATGTACAAATGCATAGTAGAGTTGGAATTAGTTCTAATAGAGAGTATTTCTTTATCTTGTTCTATATTAGCTGTGTTCTCATGCCCACATAATTTTAGCTTTTTACCTCCATTTATCTGGTGATTTTCACAAAGACAGTCTTCCAATATGAATACCCAATATGGCTAACACTGGATCAGCATTATTTAGCTGTAAATGTTTGCCAGGGGGTTTATAGGCACACAGTACAATACGTATTTCCAAATATTTGTGATAGTTATTATGTGAAAATTGCTACACTCATGTGAAGAGAGAGAGAAAGAGAACATACATAGATTAGGTAGGTATGAAGCATGGTAAACAGTGAAAACAATTGTGTATTTAAACAGGCATATGAGCCTGTTCATAGAAATCTGGGTCTGCTTCATCTTCAAAATCAGAATCATGGTCTTCTTCTTTATCTAACTATAATATACAATAATATATTAATATAAATAAAATAGTCTGTTAGTAGAAAATACACGATGTATGTATATCTTTAACCTATAGCCACCTGTATTGACTTTATCAATGACAATAAATAAATATTTCTAGTTGTTTCATAAATCTATTACTTGTAAAAACCATTATTTCAGAAAGTTTGTTATAATCCCATATCTTGATTAACTTTTAAAAATTGGATTAGCTAAAATTATCACTTTCAGCAATCAAATGCTGCCAACATATCAAATGGAGAGATCATATGTCTTACCTCTTCAAATTCTTTATGGGTAAAAAGTTTTGGCATAATTTTATTTCTGACAGGTATAAGTAAGATGAGAAAGAATGGAAAGGCAATAGCTGCTGCTGTAGACTTCACTATCCATAATATCACTAAACTAAATATCTGGATGATAGTAAATAAATTCATCTTAAATGTTTGTACCTGAAAAAAATATATATATTTATTCTAACCATACTTTTCAGAAATAGACATCTTAAGTATTAACAAACCCAGAATACATATCATAAGTTTCTTAAAGGCATTACACAGAATCACCTGACTTCTTTCTCTCAGAACAGTTGTCATCAACTTTTATCATTAGTGTAAATTTTACAAATATATTGTAGTAGTATGTTTTGATTGTTAATGAGTTAAGTGTTAGCCAACATACAGGCTGATACTTGATACATTTTATGTTATCATATAGAAATACAAAGTTAACTTACCCGTCTGACATAACCAACAGAGGGATGATATTTTACTGGCATTAATAATAATTTAATACGTTTAAACATTTGTACACTTCCTAGTGATACAATACCCAGATATAAAAATACACCAAATAATACCATTGTAGGTATATTCTTTAATACCACACCAAGTGTCAGTGATACACCTGCAACATATAAACATTTCAAATGAAGTTTTGTCAAATGAACATTGTTTATCTCAATAGACCTGTTTCATTATACCTCCTTCTCAAATCACACTAAATGAAAACTTATATTTTACATCATTAAAATCGGAATTGATATAGCCAGACGTCTCATAGGACATTCCTCCACATGACATCACCATCTTTTCATTAGATGTAGTAATTTGCCTGATGAACCTCATATTTGATGCGTTCAAAATGAGGTGCAAATAAGCTCTATTGCTATAGCTACTTCTGCTTTAAATTTAAATGTTAATTCACATAATTTCATAATTATGTTAAATGACAGCTTAACAGTTTTTATATAAATATATCTGAAGCTATATCTTGCAGAATGTTTCATGTTTGATCACAGACAGAAAATATTGAAAATATATAGCAACTGTCATGATAGAGGCTAGATTCGAACTGAATATGAGGCCAATAACTACTGAACATCAACTACTCTAGCCATGACACAGGCCAAAAACAAAATGAACCTAAAACGGCAATAAGAATAATGATGAAGATAGCTTGCCAGGCAAGGTAATATAGGCCCATTGGTAGCTTTGATTTTGAACATAAATATTTCGCAGTACAGTAACAATCACCCAGTGGCGGAGCCAGGTTCACGTCCTAGGGGGGGCAAAATATCTGAGATTGCTCAAATTTCTAATATAGTTGTGAGATTTTTGCCCAAAAAACTTGCTTTCGGGGCTGCGAGGGGGGGCGGCTGCCCCCTCTGCCCCCCCTTTGGCTCTGCCACTGCAATCACCAGTATGAAATATTCAACCTTCAGTCATACACTTCTTTTGAACTCTTTAGGGCGATACTGAATAATATTGAGTATAAGTTATTGCCCTTGTTCTTGAAAACGTATTCAATCTTTAGCTCATGAAAACTCTAGAAGACAAATATTCAATCTTCAGCGAGGTAATGAATAATAAAACCAAGTTTTGTAAAAATTCGGCAAGAATCATGCCTTCTAGAGTTTTAATGAGCTACAAATTGAACGATTTTTCAAGAACAAGGGCAATAACTCATACTAAATATTTTTCGATTTTTCTGATTTTCAATAGACTTTATCCTTGGGTGTTAACAAACGCTCAAGCCAAATTTCGTTAAAATCCGTCAAGAATTGTACATTCGAGAAAGTTTACAAGCTAAAAATTGAACGCATTTTCAAGAATAAGGGCAATAACTCATACTCAATATTTTTAGATTCTTCTGATTTTCAATAGGGTTCATCCTTGGGTGATAACCAACACTCAAGCCATATTTCGTTAAAATCCGTCAAGAATTGTCCCTTCTAGAGAGTTTACAAGCTAAAAATTGAATGTGTTTTCAAGAACAAGGACAATAACTCATACTAAATATTTTTCGATTTTTCTGATTTTCAATAGGGTTCATTCTTGAGTGATAACCAACACTCATGACAAGTTTCGTCAAAATCCGTCAAGAATTGTGCCTTCCAGAGTGTTTACAAGCTAAAAATTGAACACGTTTTCAAGAACAAGAGCAATAACTAATACTAAATATTTTTCAATTTTTCTGATTTTTTGATAGGGTTTATCCTTGGGTGATTACCAACACTCACAACAAGTTTCGTCAAAATCCATCAAGAATTCTGCCTTCTAGAGTGTTTACGAGCTAAAATTGAACATGTTTTCAAGAACAAGGGCAATAACTCATAGTAAATATTTTTCAATTTGTCCGATTTTCAATAGGGTTCATCCTTGGGTGATTACAAACAACCATACCAAGCTTCATCAAAATCAGTCAAAAATTGTGCCTTGTAGAGTGTTTACGAGCAATTGTGGACGGATGGAATGAGGTGATGTCAATATACGCCCCCCGTTTCATTTGGGCGTATAAAAATAACCTACCTATCATTAGGCTCACCATGACATTAGTTAATCGTTGTTCTTTAACTTCAACTAATTTAGGTTTTTCACCAGGAGCGTGGGTACGACTCATGACACTTAATGATGACACATGGGCTATAGTTCGTACTGTTGCTGCACACATCCATGGTAATCCCAAACAACCACACACAAATGTTAAAAATCCCATTAAAAACTGATCCAAATGAAATCCTGATCCCTTCTTCAGTTTTCGATCTTTTTTATTTAAAATAACTCTGTAAAAGATAATAAGATTTACAAAGTTAAGGCTCAAAACTAATGACCAAATAACAAATCAGTTGCCTGATAAGGATTATAATCAGTGATATCTTGATAATCAATTAACTAATTAGGTACTCTTTTCTGTAGACAAAATTGCATATATGTGTTCTAATTACTGGATCTATTCTAAATCAACATAAATGAGAAGCTCTTACTCTGTCAGTTGAATTTCCATAAATAACAAAATAAATATAAGGAATGCAGGAATTATAGCAGCAGGAATTATCCAGACTTTTTGCATCACCTTTGGACTCATTGGATTGATTAACCAGCCTCTTTTATGTGGAAGAGTAGGTACAAATGGACTACCTATTTTTAATTTCTACAAAACAAAATAAATGAAAAAATGTAATAGTGCATAAAAATTTTCTATTTCATGCATAGAACAATGTTTAAATCATTTTCACCAAACTATGCCAGTTAAAAATAAATCTAAATTTCTGTAAGAAGGGAAGTATTTTAACATATTGAGGGAAGTAAAATTGCTGTTCAACTAGTAATTTGATGTCCAGAGGAAAGGGAAGCGTGTAAAGGGAAGTGTATAAAAAGAAGTGTATAAAGGGAATGTTTAAAGAGAAGTGTATAAAGGGAAGTGTATAAAGGGAAATGTTTAAAGAGAAGTGTATAAAGGGAAGTGTATAAAGGGAAATGTTTAAAGAGAAGTGTATAAAGGGAAGTGTATAAAGGGAAATGTTTAAAGAGAAGTGTATAAAGGGAAGTGGATAAAGAGAAATGTATAAAGGGAAGTGTCCCCTAAGAAAACATTATTGTTTATGGGTTAAGTAAGGAAAAGTAACAAGTCTTACCTGAGTATAAACATCATCTCTAACCAGATAATCCAATACAGCCATAGATAAAATAGCTAATAATATACCAAAATCACCTAAAGCTCTTCGAACCTAATTAAAACAAAATATATGAAATGATATGAGAAGGAGATTAGGTAGTTAAGACTTCAAAGTAATCAATTTGTAGTATGGACAGAAATTCTGAGAACAGAAACATCATTTGTTTAATTCAATTTTGTGTTCATAATAATATAGTTTACTTACACTTCGTCCCAAAAATTTGCTGTTTCTACAAATCTTGAGAAACCAGGCAACCAGAAAGGTACCAATACACAAAATAGTAGACATAAGGGCTGTATTGGGTTTATTTTTTACTTTCTCTGTATCACCATGTATAGCATCACTACCATTCACATTATAATACATGTCAAAAGGGTCTGATATATTATAGCCTGTACTATTAAACAGAACTACAGGATCTGATATATTATAACTGCTATCATTATAAAAAACTACTGGAGGTGGATACTGAAGCAGTAATGGATGCTGTAGAAATGTCTGGAATGTAAAGTAAATGATGAGTTTATTAATGTAGGCAAGGACTATTTACCAGCCATAGATAACGTCCACTTGACTGACTAATGGTCTCCTTTTATGTCTTACTACTTGTTAGCTTGGAGATGTATTGTGATTTGATTGAACTAGCCAATTTTCTGAAACTGAAAAGTAGCACAAATTCAAATGAGCTATGTGTGAACCTTCTCAATTTACTGAAAAAAGTTTGAAAAGTTCTCAGCTAAAGACCAATTCTCCCTATCAGTAATCTATGCACATCACCAGACTGCCTAGCAACCCTGAGAACCCTAGATACCCTGAGAGGTATAATTGACTAACCTTATTTAATTTTTTAAGAACTTCATATATGAAAATTAAAGAGATCAGAATAGCAAAAATCTCTTCTGTAAACCTGGTTACATATCGAATGAGAAAACTGCCTTCTGCTGCAACTGTTAAGACAGAAATAACAAATACCCAGAATCCTATCCACAATCGAAATGACAGAAACTCTATCCCATTAGACTCACAGAACTGAAATAAATAGAAGCATTAAGGCATTTAAAACAACTTATAGTTTGAGTTACTATTACCAGTACTAGATGTTTCAACGTTTATGACTTTAACAATGTATTTCTCCTCTCTTGATTAACAGGGTCTCTCTGAATATACTTAGAATAGTGTGATAACTTCGTACAATAGAGAATATAATCTAATTATAAAATAGATCTCAAACATCCAAATCAATCCAAAATATCAAACACTGAACTAAACTATTGTTTAGAATTCATTGACAAAATGGTATTCTTACCTTATATAGAGACTGTTCAAATACTAAAACAGGACCAGTAGCACCAACTATTAACAATGGTTGTCCAGAGAATAGACCCATCACTATACCACATAAACTAGTACTCAATACAGTTTCACTTACACCCATTAACCCTTTGGTCTTCTCACCTATATTAAAAACAATAGAATTAACCCAATATCTAATTATTATAAAAATTCCTTATATTTATTCTTATAATGTCTTTGGGTAGATAATAACTCTGACACATGTTAAAAAGCAACTATGGATAATCAGAAGATATAAATCAGAAATGTAATTCAAAAACAAAATCAAAACTGTATGTACTTACTTAACAAACCACCAAAAGCTATACATGGTGACAAACAGGCAAAGAAAATAAAAATAAATGAAGCAAGACAGGTTCCATTGAGGGCATCTTTAAAATCACTGATATAATGTGGATAACGTCTTTTAATATCGTTAATTAAACCACCAAATAAACACCCTGTTCTCTGTAGAGGGTCCAATGGAACCTTGTCCTTCTTTTCTTTTTCTAATAATTCTGGAAAACAAAAACAGTTAAAATATTAATTTTCAAGAGAGAAGTTACTATTCCATATCATCTGTAATCATTCAGTTGTGAATGATCTTTATCCAATATATGATTCTTGTTCTTCTATTACAGAAGGTTTGGTCACCACAGAAGAATTCTTACATTAATTGTTTTTATGTCTGACTATCATTACTGTTTTTATAAAAACCATTTAAGTTGCCATCTTCATATAGTCAGCATTCTTTTATTTCCAATTAATCACACAATTCTATTTTTCTAAATTCATTTGTTGGATTCAAATAATACCTTGATGTTCTTCTTGCTTTTGCTTTTTCCGTCGTCGTAAATTTGCACGTTTCCTTGCCATATCCATAATTGGCAGTAAAGTTTTCTGATCCCAATCACCAGGGGGCAGCACTATGGTATCGTCAAGGAAACCATTTATTGCTTGTAATAAAGCTTCACGAGATTCTGCACGATATGCTACGTCATGAAAAAACTGAAAATAAGCAACAAGCATACTTCAAATTGACAACAATTAACACATTTACTGTTTTAGAAGAGCAGATAATTCAAAAATTACATCGCAGACAGAAAATTTGCAAAAGATTTCACCAACACTCTTATCTCATTAGAAATGTTTAATGATTATTAATAGATGATCAAATAAACTTACCTGATTTGTCATCAAGGTGGATAAAGAACGACCCACTTCGTGATAATCCATACCACCTTTTTCAGGTCCTAGTAAAATAAATACAAAACGAACAGGAAGAGGTACTTCAGTGACATTTTCTAACTGTCTTCCTTCTGAAAGACGTACAAATGCCATCACAGGTTTACTGAGGAAATCTACAGTACCAACTAAGACAGTACTAGCTTCTGAACCTACTGGAATCCTTTTCATGATCTCCTGAACATTCTTCTTTGGATCTTGTGGTGTTAATCCAATATGGATGTTTGATGAATCCGTCTGCAATTCAAAACATAGAAAATTGGTTGATGGTAAACAGGTGCAAATAATTTTCAACAACAACTAAATGAAGATACATGAATATGAACAACATTTATAGAATACTTCATCATGGAATTTTTTTGTAAAAACTGGCTTATTTCTACTTACTGTAAAAACTGGTTTCTGTGTACTAACTGTACAATAAAAACTGGTTAATTTGTACCAACTGCCCAGTAAACACTAGTTTATTGTACCAACTGGCCAGTAAAATCTTGTTTATTTGTACCAACTGGCCAGTAAAAACTGGTTTATTTTTACTAACTGCCTAGTAAAAACTAGTTTATTGTACCAACTGGCCAGTAAAATCTTGTTTATTTGTACCAACTGGCCAGTAAAAACTGGTTTATTTTTACTAACTGCCTAGTAAAAACTAGTTTATTGTACCAACTGGCCAGTAAAGTCTTGTTTATTTGTACCAACTGGCCAGTAAAACTGGTTTATTTTTACTAACTGCCTGGTAAAAACTAGTTTATTGTACCAACTGGCCAGTAAAAACCAGTTTGTGTGTAAAAATGTCCAGTAAAAAAAAACAGATTTTTACTGACCAGTAATTATAAACAAACCAGTTTTTCCTGGACATTTTTACACACAAACTGGTTTTTATCTATCAATTATAACTGGTTAGAATCATTTTAATAGAAACAACTAGGTTATGTTCACTAATTAGTCAGTATAATTATATTGAATGCCAAATTACCGTATTATTATCCATATCAACTTTCACCATTTCCAAGTTAACCTTTTCATTTTTGAAGAATTTTTTCTCATCTTCTTTGGATCTGTGTAGACCCCCTGATGATGAACCTAGACCACCATTAAAGCTACTAGTTGAAATTGAACGAAGCAATCCAAGTTTCTCATTCTGATGTCTGAAAATAAAGAGTCCATAGTTTATCATTAAGAGTGTCAAGTTCAGGAAGATACTGTTGATACTTCAAACACTGTTCAGGTTTCATGGACTTGTTTGATTGATCAGCACTGAAAATATACCAGTAACTCATTCTAACAAATTTTGAAGTAATCAAAATCCTTGAAATTATTTCATCAGAATTTGCGCTAATTTCAAATCATAAAAAATACTGTTTAGGAACAGGAGCAAATATTTGTGTGTTGACAAGTCCAAAAAACTAAAATGCTTTTGAAAAAAAAACATAAAACAATGTTGAAAATCCAACAAAAAATTTCAGTTTGTGATGGTCAGTGCCAGGAAATTGATCCAGAAGGGGTGCATAATGATATGTTACAACACACATTGAAAAAATTCTTAACTTTCCAAATTTGAAACCAAACGAGCCAAAATATAACATCAGTAGAATGTATTTTGCAATCAGAATGCAAAAAAAAGCAATAAGAATTTTTTATTAAATGTGTTTTAATAACATTGGATGTAATGGAGAAATGGAATGTTAACATTGTCAGTAATAACATCTTTAAAGCCAATATTCTAGTTACAAAATTGTGAGAAAATTCAGTGTATCAGTTAAGTACAAGAATCTGATAAATTTGATGAAGCAAAACTAAAAAAAAAATGAAATCTGACATCAAAAGTTAAAAAAAAAGAAAACATGGAAACAGTCAAAAAAAACAGAGGAAAAATAACAAGCAATTAAAATAAAATAAATAAGATCCATGCTTTCTGTAAAGAGGTTTTTAAAATTTTATGTGTATCAGGGGACACAGATTGCATCAATTTGCACCATTCCAATTTTCAATCAGACTTGTATGGTTCTTACAATGCCACTAAAAATAAGTGGTTGATGACATCACATCTGGTAGAGGTCTTACGTAAATAGCATATTTTGCAATTTTTGTCCCCTATACAATAAGTTTTTTAAAAATCCTTTGAAGGGAATGTTTGATTTGTACAGATAATTATTTTAAATTATACCATTAACAAATCTATCTATAGAAGTCAAACTTTTCCTTTCACAATTAACTATAATGTCTCTAATACCCTCATTGAATGTGATAGATCTATTAATGGGATAAAACTCATATTATTCAAGTGGATTTAATTCCTTTAACTTATCACATTTTGCAAATTTTGATTTAACTATTTTTAATGCTCAAGCTCTATTATAAATACAGCCAATATATATCCCACACCATATCACCATGTCCTGAAATTTCATCAAGTTCCCCGCTTAGCAAGTGCAATGTTAATTGCACATTGTTAAGTTAGCTCTAAGTACCACCTTAATATAAATTTAGTGATTTATAAATATGAAGAGCTTATTACAAAATACTTCTGAATAGCATCACAACTCCAAGGCAATACCAAACCTTATTCAAACAGACTTATTTATAGCAGGCTTTCCAAAATTAAAAAAAAGATAGCTTGTCAGACAAGGTTATATATGCACACTGGCAGCATTGATTTTAGAGGCAATACTGAACAATATTACCAATTTTTGTCATTATCCATCAAGAATTGTGCCTTCTAAAGTGTTTACATGCTAAAAATTGAACGCATTTCCAAGAACAAGGGCAATAACTCATATATTGAATTTATTTTAATTTTCAACTGAGTTCATCCTTGGATGATGACAAACACTGGCACCAAGTTTCTTCAAATTCTGTCAAGAATTGCATCTTCCAGAGTGTTTACCAACATTTCAAGAACAAGGGCAAAAACTCATACTAAATATTTTTCGATTTTCAATAGAGGTCATCCCTGGGTGATTACAAACACTCATACCAAATTTCGTCAAAATCCGTTAAGAGTGTTTACGTGCAATTGTGGATAGAAAGACGGACATGGGTGACAAAAATATACCCCCACCCCCCATTTCATATATAAAGGGTGGAAAAGAAATTACTATTGATTGAGATATACTAATACTGATTGAAACCTATTGTATATATCAACAAGACTTGGTAATGCCTCAATTGGAAAAAAAAAAATATAACCCATAATCATGCATGTGAAATAAAACAAACAAAATAATGTGAAGAAAAAAAAAATTAAAGAATGATGATATGAATGATCACAGAATGATGAAAACAAGTGGATTAATGAATAATGATTTCAAAAGTTAACAAAATACTTAATGATATTTTTCAATTAAATTATGATATTATTTTGTCCTAATTAAATTTTGAAAATAAAAATTTGGTACATGCTTTGTCTGAAAGAAGATTCCAAAAAGTATATCCACTAACGTGCCATTATTTTTATTACAGAATACAGTTAAAAAATATTCTTTATCACCCATCCATCAGTGAAATCATTTTTAACTCTGGATGATTTGGAAAAAGTTCAACTTGCTAAAATTGGTCACAATCAGGTGTTGCAATCATATTTTCACATTCCTTCAACTACTCAATCATAATCCAGAGATATATTCTGAAAATTCAACCTACTTAAAGACTTCAAACCACTTAAAAACCATTGCATGCTTGTAAGGGTTCCAGGTGGTTTAAAAACTAATTCTACAAATTTATCCTTCCCTTGTCTCAAATTGTAAATATCTACTAAAGGACAATAATAAAAACCACACACACAACTAAACTCTCATTTAACAAAGTTATTGTTTATATTTTAATATTGTTCTGAGCCACTTTATATGGGACAACTAGATCATAATTTCTTTTCTAAAAATTCAACATATATCATGACATCACTAGTAATATTTGGATCTTAATATCTAAAATTCTAAAAAATCAAATTGTTAATAAGCCTTATTAAAGCTGAACCAATGAACCAGATTTCAAGTTTACTTGAGGGGCCATATATATTCTTGATATTCAATAAATCTCAAAAATTTTCACGTCACGCAATTCTGGATAGATAATTCAGATATGGTTTGGTATTTCTAATTCTATGATGTTTATTGAAACCTATAGAAAATTTTGGTCAATCAACACAAACAAGTAGTTCAATATCATGCTTTACCTTGTCCTGTGTACTCTCGTGGCTACAATACAACTGAAAAAGTCAACATATTTTGACAACATGCTTGTGAGATGATAGCGAAAATGGATCAACCCTATTACATGTGGATCACAGTTACTACCATGGCACTAGTTGGTCACTAATGAAAGTACTTTTATTATTCCCCTATAAGGTTTGAAGATCTAATTACTATTTTGAAATTTATTTGGAGACAAATTTTCTACCACACATCAAACAAATCTATATACCACACCATTCAAGATTACCAGACTAGAATCTATTGCATTTTGGACACAAAATTGGTCTACTTCTACTTATACAATTTCACAGCAAAAACTTTGTGTGTGTGTGGTTATATCATTATTTCTCATTCTTATTTCAATCAATCAATCACAAAAGGTTGGTAAGTGATAATAAGAATTCAGGGCTAGATAAAAACTGTAAAATTGTTTTTTTAAAGCAGTGCTAGTTAAAATTGTTAGTGATATAATTACAATAAAAATAATCAATAACCACAGAAGGTAGATAAGGTAATATAGGTTAATTAAAAGTCAATCCAGCAATCGAAGATATCCTAAGAATCATGTAGCTAAGATCTTCCAGAACATCCTTGTAGTAAATTAGACTATGAATGTTCAAATTTATTGATCTACAACATAAAAATGTCAGGCAAAATCTCTTTTTTTTCTTAACATTTCTGAATGGGATCATTTTTTAAAACTTGTTCTTTATTTTGGAGAGTCCACAAGGGTAGCTACACCTTGAGACTTTAACCAATGATTTTTTATTATTTGTATTCTTTTTTTTTTTTTTTAACAAATTCAACTTACATTTACGTTATAAAGAACCTTGAGAACACTCTTGAGATTCACAAGTAACACTAAAGTTTATTTCTGTAAAAACTTGATAGAAAAAAGGTTCTGAATTTTTGACACTCTGCTACATGACATCTTTGGACAAATCTAGAATTGTTGAATGAACCATGTATGAAAAGATGATTCAATATATATCAAACCTTCGATTAACACCATCCAGACCTACAAGGTTATTGTATGATTTATTTCGTCGTAGGAACATTGGCCTATCTCCCACATGTCTGAAATTAACCAGGGAGCCACAATATTAATATGAGAGAAATTTGTTATTCAGGAGAAGGGCAGGTTGGATATTTTAAGGAAATTTATGCTACATTCTGGAGTATATGAGTTCATTATATGATTTAAGGAATGTTATATTATTCTTTTGATAGCTATTTCTAAGTATGATAAAAGAATTATGTATAGGCTATTCTATGAATTAAGTAATACGAGGGTATGATGTAAGGTTATGTGTAACATAAATTTTGATTGCTACATATAAGTATGATAAAAGAATTAAGTATATGCTATTCCAAAGTATGAATTAAGTAATACGAGGGTATGATGTAAGGTTATGTGTAACATAAATTTTGATTGCTACATATAAGTATGATAAAAGAATTAAGTATATGCTATTCCAAAGTATGAATTAAGTAATACGAGGGTATGATGTAAGGTTATGTGTAATATAAATTTTGATAGCTATTTATAAGTATGATAAAAGAATTAAGTATATTCTAATGTATTAATTAAGTTGATTCAATAAATTTTGATACTTATATTTAAGAATGATAAAAGAATCAAATATAGGATATTATGAGTTATGACTAAATGATAAACAAATCTAGGTTTGATTTTAGTAATTTGTAATTTAAGAAAATCATGTTCATAGAAAGATGAGAATTTCTCTTAAACTAAGGCAATGATTTGGGTTATTTAAGGTAACTTAAAATTTATTAATTCATTACCTAGTTAAGATCGTGATTTAGGTTTATTGTATTATTGAATTTCTTAATGGAATCTTATGATGGACAAGCCAAGATATACAAAGTATGCTTGGATACAGTTATTTACTTACATGTAACTAATAAAGATAATATTTTGTTTATGTTTTTATGTATGATGAGTAAGTTATGAATATTTTCATGATTAATATGATAACTTTTTGAATATCAATAGAAGAACTGTGTGAGATTCTAGAATGTTATTCTCTTATTTATTATCATATAATAATTTAAAGCCTCCAGATTAGTTTTTTAAATCCATCATTTTTTTTTATATGCTGAATAATGGTCACTTAAAGTTTAGATCTATATTTGGTTAATAACCTAAAATCTCCTAAAAAAAAAATCTAAAACATCATCTTTTTTTAAAGCTGATAAAGCTTGCAAATGAAGTATTCTTTACTAATATAGATTAAGTGAAAACTTATTTAAGCTGTAAAATGTTAGCACTGAATGACATGATTTCAAACACTGAATCATGCAAACATGAAGCAAGAGCTAGGAACTAAAGTCCAGTAACAAGAAAATGTAGCAACAATTGCAATGAAATTTACAATGGATATGAAAAGAATTTGATGGTTTTAGAGAAAAAGTCAATAGTAAAATAATCAAGAAATCAGAAAAAGTTTTAAGAAATAATTATTATATAAAATTCAAATCACATACAGTGCGAAAAATATTTGTAATATTTAAAATAAAGTTTCATTTTCTAAACTCTAACTTCAGCCAAAAAAAAAAAAACATTTAAACCAATTTGAGAATATCTTATTTTTCGCTTTGTATTTTTAATTACATTATTGAATTATTGAAAAAATACAATCAGACATGATAAGATTTAATTGATTAACAATAATATTTGATTAAAACACTTCAAGTGAAGGAAGACATAAATTCATACCTAGTTATTTTAGTTTAATACAGTAAATAAGTTACAAATAGAATGAAGTAATCAAAAGAAATAATACATACTTATGTTTAAGAAGTAAAGTCCGCAAGATTTTCCCTTTCACATCTTCATCTATGAGATCACGAATAAGCAAATTTTCAACTACATTGTGAACAATATTGGGAAAGTCTTCAGACTCTAAATCCAATAATACAGTGCCTGAAACATACAATAATAGTGAAAACAAATTCTACTATCTTTGCAGTCTTTACGCTAATTCATTTAAAAATAAAACATTTTTTTTTTACAGACAATAGTGCAAATTCCAATAAGATTCTACCACAACAATGAAGGTTTTAAACTTCTATCTGTTTTTTTTCAGAACTAATTAATCCCATAAAAATATATCAGGGCCCTAGACCAAATTTGCCAGTCTTTTTTAGACAGTAACGTCAAACTTGAAGACAGAACTATATTTTTTCTTGAAATTCTCAAATTAAAAGATATATCTAAATTTTTCTAAATCTGTCCGGTGAATACACCACTCCAGTTAAAAATTTTATAGTAGCAACGGGGAACCTCTTTCAGAAGGATAAAATATTAGTTGAAAATGATAAGGCAGTTTCTTACCTGTTTCCAATCCTTTTCTTAATTCTATTAAGCTATGAAATGAAAGAGATGCTACGTGAGGTTTGCCCCAACGATCAGCACCCTCTTCAACATCTTCTTCAAACTTAATCCAACGAGCCTTCTCTCTCCATTCCCACTCATGTTCATCTTTAACAAACAACTCATCTAACTCAACAAATACCTAGGGAAAACAAAGTTTTACTTTCTAAAATATTTATAAGCACAATAAGCAAACTTTCTCCGAAAAAACAAAATTGGGAATTCGATTTTAAAATTATCATCGATTATCGGCAATATACCGTTAGGCATTTCTTATTGATAATCGATAAAAAACGTATTATTGATAAATAATCGTCCGTTTATTTTGAGGTACGTGACTGCCGCAAACTGGTTTCCGGGAGCACTATAACAGAATATGCAGAGGTTATGTCAGTAATACATACATCATGAGGGCTATGGTCAAATTTTTGCTTTGGCTTCTTCTTTTCTTTGTGAGCTTTTCCAATATGGACAATTGAATGTAATTGACTTTTGTTTCTTCTTGCTATTTTATGTCTTCTGATACCACGAACATCTTCCCATCTGTGACCTGTAAAATTAAGTCAAATACATATATTATAGTCAGATATTACAGTTTGACTTTAGAAACCAATACCTGTAGCATCAGAGTTAATTTAATCATGTTCAAACCCATGGCATCTTATCACCTTGCAGCTGAATCCAAATAAGTACCAAGAGAGCTATTTCACTGCCACTGTTTAAAAGTCGACCTCTGTTCAATCTTCAATACTTACTGGCCATATCATCCAGATCAGATTTTTGTAACAGTTGAGCTTCTTCTGTTTCTGTTGGAGATCTTCTTAATCCACTATCTAATTTCACCTCACTACCTTTCTGGCGTCGCAAGATCAAATCCCTTTCCTTAAAGTGTTGATGATGATGTTTTCTTTTGCTGGAACTGCTCCTACTGAGGTTACCACTACTAGCTTTGTTAGATTCTTTACTGAATGCCTTGCTGAAATAAAATATCTTAATTTTACATTAAACACACCATGATCACTGTTAAATTTTAAGTCTGCTCTGTTCCAAAGTTACAATAAAAGTTCTTCATCCTATGGTTTTAGAATTAATGTTATCAGCTAGATTTGCCCATTAACAAAATATATGATGTGTATGAAAAATATTTTTTGATTCAGCTTTTCTCTGAAAATTAGATAGTATTGGAAAATGAGGTAAACTATTTAAGGTTGGACGAACCTTGTACTTGGTTGATCAACAGAAGGTACTGAACCATTCTCTCGTAATTTCCAGACCTCACCATTGTCATCAGAATCATCACGATTCAGATTAGAACTGCTAGGGTCAGATCCTGAAATGAAGTTCAACAGTTGAGAAACCATCTTCTGATGTCAGAAACAAAGTACAAACAATGATGGTGATTTATAATTCAAAAGACTTTAAAAAGTATTTTTATGAGAGTATTAGATTCATTTTTAAGCCCTTCAGAATTTGTAGCTCCTGTTACTCTACATAATATTGACCAGCTTATTAGTCACTATCATAGATAACAATTGATTTGAATGGTAATATATGTGAAGTTTTTGAGGAATTACAGGAACCATGGACAGAAAGGAAAAATGTAAATAGAAGTTATCAGCTAGATAAAACTTTTAAATCCTTTTAAATTTCTCAACTTGTCCATGTACAGGAAACAGACTGATTTATAAAAAAGAATCATTTTGCAGTCTATTTGTAAAAACATGAGATCAGACTTAACTTAGGCCTATAGGGAGTAATTATAAGACACGTGTTTGATTCCTACCTATCTGACTGAATGTAGTAATTATAAATAACATTTCTTACCTATTTGAAAATGCACACGACTGGATGCAGATGTTGAACTTATCTTCCTATCTTTAGCACTTTCAGGAGCATCAGGAATATCAAGTAAAGCAGCTCTTTCTGACAGCTGTGGTTCACTTTCAATATCTGGTATGAACATAGCAATTTCCTGCAAAGCACTGTCTTCAGGAATATATAAAGATGTTTGAGGAGGCAGAGATGGTATGGTATCTGTAGAGGGCTCTGTTACCAGGATTTCTGGTAACTCTTCTTCCATTGGTATGATTGGTTCATTTCCTCCAATATAGAATCCAACATCAACTCGACTTGATTTCCTAGATGGATCTTTCTCAAGCGCTGCTGATTCCATTATGACAGGTGGATTATTCTCTTCATTTTCAGATTCCTAATAAAATAATAAAACCTTACAGACATATGGAAAAACAGAGTTATAAGCCTACTACATGACTAACATATTTTTATATAAATAATTTCATTTAAACCTTCCTTAAGTATTTGAATGGGTTGAAATTTTTACTTTATCATAAAATATTTAGTCTATTGAACATTGTTTCTTGTCTTACACATGATTGTTGTGTATACAATAATACAAATGACAAAATATCAACCAACCTCCTCCTCTTCTTCTTCTTCTTCTTCTTCTTCTTCCTCTTCATCACCATTATTTTCACCTTCTTCAGGTATAGGTGGTGACTGTACTGCATCTTTGGACGGGAAACTACGTACCTTCTTCTTTTTCTTTTTCTTTTTTTTCTTCACATTACTACCTGGTATGTTTTTCATGGATCTACATGACAGGGAACGTAATGGTTGATGAATATGTGGATAGGACACTTTTCGATGAACTGAAAATAGACAAAAGAAAAGGTTGAGTACATCAACCATGAAACAGCTCTCCCTTCCAGTCCATATGGATTTCTTAGAGAATCTGAGTAAATAGTATTTTATTTCAGGTCCCCACATATTTTGTAGTTACAGGCATTTGAGACAAATTTATGTGATCATGTGACATTGTATGAACTGAAATAACTCGAAAATTGATAAAGCTATTTAAGGTTGGGCGAAGGTTGACTTGAGATAAGGAGAATGGTTCATGGTTCTGACTTTAAAGTAGTCAATTAAATGAAGGTCTTGATCAGCTAGATGCTGCTAGATGCTAGTAGTAGTTGAAAATTCAGTGGAGGTGGGGGAGATTTCCTCTTAAACTCCTTTCATATTTCATAAATTCTTTAACATCTAGTAAACATACTTGTGAAATCATCTTCGTTGATTTTTTTTTCTATAAAATGTGGAAGACTGATTCTTCGTTCTCGTGGATCACGATCTGCAACAACCACCTTGTCACTGGTTAACGAACCAAAATCAAAACCAGTGGTATAGAGTTTCTCTACATCATCATGTAGAAATGATAAAACAGCAGAACTTTCATCAGATATATGTCGCCCTCTGTTCATCTGAGATATGGCTGGTTCCGTTGATATGGATCGTAAAAATGGACTTGGTTCTGGATGCTCCTGTGAAGGAATACTGGCATCACTTTCACTACCATTTTGTATGCTGACATCTGGTGACTCTTCGCCTTGAAACAGAGGAACTGATTCTTCAGATGTATGCTGAAACATATAACAAGTAAATGTAGTAAGATTTGACAAATAAGAGTAACCATTCTAGCATCGATGCTTGTTTGAGTAAGTTGGATATAACTATGAAAGTCCTGTTTTATGGATATACAATAACAATATGTCTACAATGTTTCAAGTTCAAGGGAATCCATTTTTTTTTTTGCATGATATACAGTAGTTATGTAGAGAGTTTAAATAAAAGTTGATGCGATGTACAAAAATGATATTGACACAATGCCTTAGATTTGATTAGAACAGGAAAGATTTGCATGAAAATAAACACAAACATGTATTGAAGACCTTACATGCAATAGCTAAAAAACAAACAAATCTATATCAATAGTTAAAGGGACATTTTGCTTTTTTGTAGGTTGAAAATTTTTTAGCTCAAATTTGTGAAAACTATAAACCAAAATCTAGAGAAATGTATCCCATAACGTATCTGAAAGTTTTTAACGCCAAAACTTTACGTAAAAGGTAATCGTGTTGAAAATCTGCTACTGCTTCGAACTAATACTATTCCAAAATCTTTTTCTGGTTTTAAAAGCTTTCTAGCAAGTTGCTTTTATTATTTCAACCAGTCAGTTGTGTATATATCTAATTATACTAAAGAAGACTATGTACAATTTCAAATTCTTTATCAGTTGATGGTCAAAAGTTTCAAGATTAGAAACAGAAACAGTAAAAACTTAGATCATGCTAAGCCGATGTTAAAATTCTATCTTTTCTTTTCTGATCAATATGTCAATGACAAGACCAAGATAGTAATTATACAATCTTTACTAATTCACAAGATTAGAAAATTAAAACAAACTACAACCTAGAAAAAAATACTCATTAGAAACACTACAAATATAACCTTATAACAGTCATTGAATTTTGATATGTAAAATATATTTTAAGACATGGTATTTTCATATATCAACAGGAGGCAGACTTTTCTCTCCATATAGTGGGATTTACATTTCACAAAATATTTGATTCTGGCATAATAAATACATCAAGATATACGTCCTTGTGTTTCGCCAAAATGTTGTTTTGGATTTTGGGTTTTGTTTTTGCTGTTTGAGTTTATACAATGTCTAGAAATTACATATCAAAAGTCACATATAAACAACAAAGCAATCAAACAACAATACAACTAAGAATAGAGCATAAGGGAGTGAAAAATCTGTTATAAATGCATACTAAAATAATGGAACCATACGAAGCTGTAGACACAGCAACAATGGTGATGTATTTATTACCACTTCAATGATATCACTATTATCTTCTACAGTTGTTAATGATGACACAGGTGGCTCTCTCTGAAAATATCACCAGAACTTAATTCTCATTTTACACCTTTATTTACCTACAGTGAACTTGGTGAGCATCTGGTTCACTTAAAAAAAAAGGCTTTACAGGGATTTAAAAAAGCCATTTGTAATCTTTGTAATCATAATCTGTCAAGATCTTCTTAAATTTCAGAAACACAGACAGGGGTAGGGGGGGAGAAGGGTTGGGGGCGTCAAAAGACTAAAAGCTCAGAGAGTGTATTTCTGATGATTTTATGATGTCCATCTCCATGGAGAATGTGAACTGCAATAATTCACCTTCGAAAATTATCTTCTGTGGTTAAGATCCTGTCCTGAAAATGCATTTTCTGTGATTCCAAAAACATTTGATATGCAATTTCAAATTATGATGTAATTTAGCTACAAGATGAGCACAAGATGAGTGTGTCTTCGAATTTTCTAAAAATAATAAGCCTGAGACATGGGATGAAGGTCCTCCCCAAGAGTTTTTACAAATTTTCACAAACGACATCAATTTTCAAAGTTTTCAGTCTAGTGCATGACCCAAATAGGTTCCAGAGGTTGGGAACCCAGGACTTAAAGGTTAAGAAATTGAACGTAAAAAAAGGACACCAACACTATTTAAAGTGATACTACGTCTTAGAATTAACATAAAATTTAAGAAATTTAAACTAGTCGAACAAGAGCCAGTAGATATACCTGGTCTCATAAATAACATAACAGGATCCTAATTTAATCTGATAAATCCAAAAAACTTAGTAAGTATTCATAAAATATGCAATTAACTATTGAAAAATACTTAATATCAAGATTTATGAATTTCCCTATTTTCCAAATTTTATAGGGATTCTGTTCTAACTTTATGACACCAGGTAAGCTAACTGAAGAATATCACTTTAAGGTGACAAGTGTGACAGATTAAATCAGACAGGTTTGTACTGATACTCAAGTTTTTTCAAACTCCTCCAGGGTGAGTTTGTTTGGTGATTTAATATTTGTGGGACTTTGCTTTCAGCAAAGTCCTTTGTTATCGAAATGTCAATTCTTTTTTTTTTTTTTTTTTTTTTTTTTCGTTTCGTCCACACCTTCCCGAGCTTAGACTGCAGTAGTTGCAGGTACGTTTCAAATTTCATAGACCTTCTATATAGGAGACGATGTGCATAAATATAAATTGGAACATTTTTGCAAAACCGGAAGTGCCACAGTTCAACATGTGCAAAAAGTCGAAAATCGGCTCTAGAAGGCGTATTTTTGCATCAATTTTCTTCGGGTTTTCATTTTTACAATCTACCTGTAATTTCTGACCTGATAGCACTTGAAAAATTACGAAATTCGAAAATTCGTCGCTCACTTTTTTCGATCAAATTTTTCAATTTTTTTGCAACTTTTTTGCTTTTGCATCGATTGATCTGAAATTTAATATGCAAAGGGACACCACCAAAGCAAATAATATGTAGTTGTCAAATATTTAATTTTACTTCCGGTTTTAAACGGGGAATCAATTGAAAGTACAATCCACTTCCGGTCGAATAACTTCCGGTGTAATTGAAATAGGTCAACGAAATTTATGCTGATCGTAAGTAAATGCTAATACAAAAAAACGAAGAAAATAAAATCCAGCCCGGAAGTGATACTTTGGCCGCCATATGAAAAAACACACTTTGT